GTGAGGAGGCGTCCCACATATCTCTCCCCCTCCCTCTTGTTACTGGTCCACTCTGTGAGGAGGCGTCCCACAAATCTCTCCCCGTCTCGCTCTTGTTCTCACTTCGTCTGCTGCAGAATCCGGTGAGTGACTTTAATGCAGTTTATTTGTGTGGCGCGTGATTCTGAACACTGTGTTTATAACTTTATTTATATTTTTATAAAAATTGCTTTGTGTCATTTTCAGAAATGGAAACAATTATAATCATTGAAAAAATGATTAAAAAGACTCAGTGCAGTTTATTTGTGTAGCGCGTCCTCAGTTTCTGAATTTTTAGTTTTAATTCTGTATTTGTTTTTACCACAAGATTAACCTGAAAATAATGTTCTATTTGATTGATTTAGAGAACAGTTTATTTGCATAGCGCGTCAGACACAGAACATTTTATTATTTTGATGAAAACTATTTATACTTTATTAATATCACTGTTTTTAAAAAAAATCTAATTTAAAACTGAAAGAGTAAAACCAGAAAACAGAAATAATTAAATGAATGTAATTTGTATTTAATATAATTATTTTAACAAAACGACAAGTTCAGTGCAGTTTATTCGCGTAGCTTTTCAGACGCAGTTCATTTTTCAAATTAAAAATAAATAAATAACTGAAAGTAATGATTTTGTTTCATATTTGAGTTTTGGAAATCGTCAAAATGTGTGAAAGTGAAAGTAATATGTTTTTTCTCTGTTTTTATAATTTATCATTTTATTTGTAATATTGTTTTTTACACAATTTAAAAAAAACTACAGTTTAGTTCTAAATAAAATATTAATACAAATATTAAAATTAGCTTTATAGAAAATGTAACAAATGATTACAAATTTAAAACCACATTTTAATAATACAGTAATGTTATATTCTAATAATCATTATATTATTATAATCTGATGCATCTTCTCAATCTTTGTCGGAGAAGTGCAACAGAAACATAAAAATCATTCTAAAAGTCACTAACAAAAGTAACCGCACAAAGTAACAAGAGTAATAAAGTAATACCAGTACAAAGTTTAAAGTACTAAAGTACTAAAGTACACAGAGTCATGTCTGACTCAGATCAGAGTCTAGAATCTGCAGCGGAAAGAACAAAAGAAAGTAAAACGTTCTGCAACTGATTTAAAGAGACCAGGACACAAGCCCTCCATAGGAGGAGCTCAGCGTAGAGCCACAGCTCCCTCAGAGATAGAGGAGCTCTGGGCATGTCCCACAGGAGGAGACCAGAGGAAGACCCATCTGAGCTCTGCGGCAACGGATGAAGCGGAAGAGAAGGGAACTACTTGTGTTTAGAGCGATTTAAAGAAATAAATATAAATGTAATTATAATCCTGTCCAACAAAACAGGACAAACTTCACATCAAACAGTCAGTATTTATTTATGTAGCGCACACACAGATAAAAAAACATTTATTGAAAGTCTTTGTCGATCCTTCAGTCGAGTCAAAGAACTTTAATCATTTGAGAATCTGGTCAAATGTGGGAATTGAAACAGTGAATATGAGTGAATTGTGCCATTTCTGAGGTTTAACTGTTTAAAAAGACAAGAACAATTAAAGCAGAAACACTGTAATCTAAAATGATCAGTGTGTGTCTCATTTGAACAGTGGAACTTTTATGCGTCGGTAGAAAAAAAAAAACCTAAAATGTGAGTCTGCCGTGAACTCACCGCTTGAATCTCCAGTAAGACTGTGGAGCCTCCTTTACATGTGTGAGGATGTGGAGCGATTTTGAGCCAAATCAGTGAAACGGACGAGGCTGGTTTGTTTAAAAAAGCAAAGGGTAAATTTGAGAGATTTTTTGATTTTCCATTGACACAGGATGGGGAGTGTTTGTCATCGCCACAGCGTAAAAAACACATTTTGATAAAATACGTTCATGACTTTGGCTCACTCTGTAGGGGGCAGTGACGCTTTGAATTCACATTTTTCATAAACCCAGTAGTTGAACAATCAGACTTTGTGTAAAGAGGAGCAATAATCTATGAGTGTCTCTGTGGTCTCCAGTGAACATGGGAACTACACACCTCTCCATGAAAATAACAATTTGGGAGTCTGCCGAGGATCGTATGACTAAACAATATTCTGTAGCTAACTTAGACGATGTGGAGCGAATTTCAGCCAAATTAGTGAAACACACACTCAGGCGACCAAGGCCCAGCAGCAACTGAAACAAATTTGAAATTGTAAATCGGACTTTGTATGTGCACACGGGAACACATTTGCATATGCTCCGCTGCTCAACCAACGTTTACCTAATTCTGCAGCTAACTATTGATGCTACATGTGTGCGGAGCAGTGCTTTTCATCCTCCGCTCTGACCCCAGGGCAGCTGTGACCGCGTTGTACTGACAGCTGCTTTGACAACAGCTCAGCGATCGCACATCCGTAGTACCGAGCGCAGACTTTAGACGCGTGGACAGAACCATGGACTCGTGGACAGAACCATGGACTCGTGGACAGAATCGTGGACAGAACCATGGACTCGTGGACAGAACCATGGACTCGTGGACAGAACCATGGACTCGTGGACAGAACCATGGACTCGTGGACAGAACCATGGATTCGTGGACAGAACCATGGACTCGTGGACAGCTGAGAGTGGATTTTGTTATGTTTTTTTCCACAGTTAGTACCACTTTATTCCCAAACTCTTGTTAACTCTTTGTACTGGCCTGGATGTTTATTTAAGCACTTTGATGAGAATGACTTTATATTTGATGAGAACAAGTATATATTTTTATATTTTCTCCTGGTGGTGTGCCGTGAGATTTATTCAATGAAAAAAGTGTGCCTTGGCTTAAAAAAGGTTGAAAAACACTGGAGTAGAGGATGTGGAGCAATTTTGAGCCAAATCGGTGAAACGGCCGAGGCAGTTTCGTTTTCCAACGGACATGTGTGAAAATTGCCAATTCGTATTTTTTCTCTCCCGGTTTGTAAGAAGGCGTGGCCCCAATATATTTTGTTTGTGTTTTGAGTTGACAAATATGTGTACCGAATATTGTGGCTTTACGACGAGGGGGCCCCGCATTAGAAAGAGAAAATGTAGTAGAGGACCAGCTTAAAAAATTGGACTAATATTTACATAATAAAAATATACAATAAATTATGATTGGCTGCATGGTTAATGTTCTGACACTAAGACAGTTTTCAGTTTCACTGCTGTTCACTAATAAAAGCCAAAGAATCACAGATGTAACAAAAGAGAAAAAGTCCATTCCCATTGCTTCAGGAAATATCATTGCATAAATGACATTATTTGTAAGAAAAACTCACGCTTTCATAGTTTGTTAATATAGCCTACTTTAATCATCTTTTCTTTTAAATTATATTTAAGTTTATGCAGTCTACTCAGGCCGCGGCCACCTCCATTTAAAAACATGTGAATTTTAAGCATGAACAGAGTGCGCCAAATATTTACATGGGTAACCAAAAATGCTGTTTTGTCAAATTATTTAAACATTTGCACATCATTTTGATTTATGGGTCTCATTGACAAAATATCTTTTAATAACAGAATTGTTTTTAATCAGACGGCGTGTGCGACAGACTCACATTTTTGGCTAATGTCTAAAGAGAAACATGAAAGTTCCCATGTTATTCAATAGAGACACACTGATCTTATGCCTCAGGGCTGCGCGGTGCAGCGAGGGCCGTTTGAAGCCGCTTGTGACTTTAATTATTGTTATTATGATTGTATTATTGATGTCACAATACAAACCTAAAACCTGATCACAGTAAAGACGTCTTTTTATATAAAACATAGGTTTTAGAGAAAGTGATGTTCCTGCGGAGGGGTAGTGTGATCACCAGGGTGTCTGTGTGTGTGTGTGTGCGCGCATCTGTGCGCGTGTGTGTGTATGTATGTGTGTGTGTGTGTGTGTGTGTGTGCGCAACAGATAAGGACTCTAACTTATTGATATGTTACTTTCTCAGGACTGAGATGGTTCTATTCTGTTACAAAACAAGTACTTTTTCTTAAACTGAGTTTGTGTTGACAATAGTCATGAATATGCCACCTGCTAAATTACCTACCTGGTTAAGATTACAGCTTTAAAGTCATACCCAGCTTTAAAGTCACATACCCGAGCTTTAAAGTCACATACCCAGCTTTAAAGTCACATACCCAGCTTTAAAGTCACATACCCAGCTTTAAAGTCACATACCCAGCTTTAAAGTCACATAACCAGCTTTAAAAGTACCCAGCACATACCCAGCTTTAAAGCCACATACCCGAGCTTTAAAGCCACATACCCGAGCTTTAAAGCCACATACCCAGCTTTAAAGTCACATACCCGAGCTTTAAAGCCACATAAAGCTTTAAAGCCACATACCCGAGCTTTAAAGCCACATACCCGAGCTTTAAAGCCACATACCCAGCTTTAAAGTCACATACCCGAGCTTTAAAGCCACATACCCAGCTTTAAAGTCACATACCCGAGCTTTAAAGCCACATACCCAGCTTTAAAGTCACGTACCGGAGCTTTAAAGTCTCGTACCCAGCTTTTAAGGTTTAGTGTTTGAAGCAGGTGTTTTAAAGGTCGCTCGTGTCGCGGTGAAAAACGACGCCATAAAAACAAAACAAACCTGTGAGACGTTTACATTATTTAGTCAAAAACCAGGACCAGGACCAAGACCAGGACCAGGATCTTAAAACCAGAACCAGGAATAGAATCAGGACCAGGACTGAGACCAGGACCAGGGAAATTGCACATGGACTCATCATGTTACATCATCGTCACATGGGAATATAGAACAAACCCAAAATGCATAACTACAAAAAAAGCAAATAAAAACTAAATCCAGCATAAAAAATGAAAAAGGAACCAAACAAGAAGTGAAGGAAGATGCAAAATACTCAAGACTAACAACACATAGGTGAAACAAGCCCAGGTCCAGGTCCGAGTCCGAGACTGGCACTGGTCCTGGTCTGGGTCTGGTGTTTAATCGTCTGGTTGTTTTCAGGAGGAAAATGGAGGAAAAACACAAAATGGCCGACGGCGTCTTTAACGGGACGCAACAAAAACACTACACAGGTAACTAAGAGAAACCTCAGAGGTCATGACCTGCTTTAGTCCTGCTTTAGTCCTGCTTTTGACTTGCTTTAGTCCTGCTTTAGTCCTGCTTTAGTCCTACTTTAGACCTGCTTTAGACCTGCTTTAAAACTGCTTTAGTCCTAGCTTGGACCTGCTTCAGAAATGCTTTAGACCTGCTTTAGCCTTGGTTTGAACTTGGTTTGGACCTGCTTTAGTCAGGTTCTTTCACTCACACAGTGAGTTAGGGGTAGAGGAAACTGGAGCACCCAGAGGAAACCTACGCAGACACAAGGAACCTACTTCCACACTGGAGGAAGAAGACACCAGGACCACTGCTCCTGGTGTCACGTGCCACTGTGGTGACTTCCCATTGGCTGCTGCTGTGCGGTGATGTTAAAGAGGACGTGGTTTAAACCATGTTTTTATTTATGTCTTGAACAAACGTGTTTACGGCGCCGTAAAGTCACTGCCACCGGAGCGGGTCGTAACCGTGGAGACGCCACACTGTGATAGGCCGAAATCTGACAGCAAATCTGCCTCTGTCTGCGGCTGAAGAAAGGACTCCATCTGAGACTTTACACACACATAAGTCACCACCGCTTTGCATAAACAAGAGACCGGTTTAGACCTGGTTTAGAGCTGGTTTAGACTTAAAATCTTGTTTTAATTGTTGCACACAAAATAACCGGAGCCTCATTCACACCAAGGTCCTGGAAAAACACCTGGATTTGGCTGTTGGCATAGAATTAGCATAGGATTAGCATACCATTAGCTTCCCTTAAAATTTCAAACCACTTTTCATTCTCTTCTCACTCAGACACAAAGTCTGGACGAAGTGAGACACATACACAAAGTGGAGAGGAGAGTGATGTCACACTTAACGACTTAGCTCGTTAGCTGTTACCACAGAGACCGTCTCGTTAGCGGCCTCAGTGGCGCCCCCTCGGTCTGGTTAGTAGATGAGGCTCAGGGGAACATACAGGGAACATCTTTAATTTGAATAAAGACGAACGTTAGTGCGATTTCCTCCTAACAACGACATCATTTATAATATATATACAACATAATTTATGCGAAAGCAACGAAAGCGTCATTCGGAATCTATTGTTCCTGAAACTGGGCCACGACTGCACGACAAACGAGCACACAACTGGTTTGATTTAATGTTCAGGTCTAAACACACACAGACACACAAACACACACAGACACAGAAACCCACACATACACACATTCACATACACACACTGGATACAAAAAACTCCACTTTGAAACAGAAATTTGCAAAAACTATGAATAGTGTTTTTTCTGCAGGATAATTTAAATAACTATTAAAGCTGGGGTCCATTACTTTTGTCGCATAAATAAAACATGTTGTAAGTTGGGGTAAGAAAGAGCCCTGTGAGTCACTATTTGACCTTTGGGCTGAGAGCTGATTGGCATCAGATATATGACATCACAAGGAAAACTAGTGACAGAAGCAGCTGTTTTAGAACTTGAGACATGGGTTCAATACAGAGTTATTGTCTGACTCTGAGAGTTACTGACCCCAGCTTTAAAGTTACAGACCCCAGCTTTAATGTTACAGACCCCAGCTTTCAAGTTACAGACCCAAGCTCTAAGTCCCGTACAGCTCTAAACGTCTCTGGTGTAAACTCAGAGGCTGCGGTGCTTATTGTAATGAAGCGTTACACTTTGTCTCATTTATTACATCTGTGCCGCTAGCGCTAATGCTAATGCTAATGTTATTCTTAGCCCGTTGCCGCGGCGATGAGGGATGTCCGCCACGTGCCGCATTAATCCTGGCGCACAGAGGAGTTTGTAATCACGCGCCCTTCCACAGACCTGACCCGACACACCGTTCGTCATGTGACCGACAGGAATGATGATCTCACACGGCAACCACACATACACAATTAACAATTAGGGGGGAAGAGAGGAAAGGAGAGAGAGGAGAGAGATAAGAGGAGAGGAGAGGGGGAAAGAGAGAGGAGAGAGTAGAGGCAGGAGAGAGAGGAGAAGGGAAGAGAGGAGAGAAAGAAGAGGAAAGAGAGGAGAGAGGAGTATTTAGATCACAATGTAAATATAGAGAAACTGAAACAAGCTTCTCACCATAGACGGCTGGAATTCTGGCTCATTCCTCCTGTTGGAGACAGGACTGAAGTGAATGCAGGACTGACCTTGTGTGTGTGTGTGTGTTTCAGCTCTGCCTCAGTTCCACACTCCAATCCCAATTGATGGGAGGTGCTCTTGCCACGTGCATCTGTCTGACCCTCTGCACCTGTCCAGGTCTGAGAAATACACACACACACATACACACACACATAAATACACACTGAGACCAGAAATAGAGACCAGAGAAAGACCAGAGAGAGAGACCAGAGACCACAGAGAGAGACGAGCGAGAGAGAGACCAGAAAGAAAGACCAGAGAGCCGACATAAACCAGGGACCCGTGCAGAAAAATGGACTAAAGAGAGAGTTCAGGTTCAGTGCTTTGGACACAGAGGAAAAGTTTTTCACTATTGTAACCTTTGTGTTTCCAGTGCACCTGCGTTCGCTGAGCTCCCATTGGTCAGTCTGTCCCCGGTCTCCATGGCGACAGAGTTCTGCCCCGCCCCCACGTACGTGCACACTCATGTGCACGGCTCCGTCTTGGCCGAGAGTAAGACGCCTCTGACCCGAGTCTGGGAGAAATGAGACCTTGTTAGGACTAATGCTCGTCCTACTGTCTACATACAGTGCCTTGCGAAAGTATTCGGCCCCCTTGAACCTTTCAAAATTTCGCCACATTTCAGGCTTCAAACATAAAGATATACAATTTTAATTTTTTGTCATGAATCAACAACAAGTGGGACACAATCGTGAAGTGGAACAAAATGTATTGGATAATTTAAACTTTAAAAAAAAATAAAAAACTGAAAAGTGGGGCGTGCAATATTATTCGGCCCCTTTACTTTCAGTGCAGCAAACTCAGTCCAGAAGTTCAGTGAGGATCTTTGAATGATCCAATGTTGTCCTAAATGACTGATGATGATAAATAGAATGCACCTGTGTGTAATCAAGTCTCCGTATAAATGCACCTGCTCTTTGATAGTCTCAGGGTTCTGTTTAAAGCGCAGAGAGAACCATGAAGACAAAGGAACACACCAGGCAGGTCCGAGATACTGTTGTGGAGAAGTTTAAAGCCGGATTTGGATACAAAAAGATTTCCCAAGCTTTAAACATCTCAAGGAGCACTGTGCAAGCAATTATATTGAAATGGAAGGAGTATCAAACCACTGCAAATCTACCAAGTCCCGGCCGTCCCTCCAAACCTTCATCTCAAACAAGGAGAAGACTGATCAGAGATGCAGCCAAGAGGCCCATGATCACTCTGGATGAACAGCAGATAACTACAGCTGAGGTGGGAGAGTCTGACCATAGGACAACAATCAGTCGTGCACTGCACAAATCTGGCCTTTATGGAAGAGTGGCCATTTCTCAAAGATATCCAATAAAAGTCTCTTAAAGTTTGCCACAAGCCACCTGGGAGACACGCCAAACATGTGGAAGAAGGTGCTCTGGTCAGATGAAACCAAAATCAAACTTTTTGGCCACAATGCAAAACGATATGTTTGGCGTAAAAGCAACACAGCTCATCACCCTGAACACACCATCCACACCTCAGCTGTAGTTATCTGCAGTTCATCCAGAGTGATCATGGGCCTCTTGGCTGCATCTCTGATCAGTCTTCTCCTTGTTTGAGATGAAAGTTTGGAGGGACGGCCGGGTCTTGGTAGATTTGCAGTGGTCTGATACTCCTTCCATTTCAATATAATTGCTTGCACAGTGCTCCTTGAGATGTTTAAAGCTTGGGAAATCTTTTTGTATCCAAATCCGGCTTTAAACTTCTCCACAACAGTATCTCGGACCTGCCTGGTGTGTTCCTTTGTCTTCATGGTTCTCTCTGCGCTTTAAACAGAACCCTGAGACTATCAAAGAGCAGGTGCATTTATACGGAGACTTGATTACACACAGGTGCATTCTATTTATCATCATCAGTCATTTAGGACAACATTGGATCATTCAAAGATCCTCACTGAACTTCTGGACTGAGTTTGCTGCACTGAAAGTAAAGGGGCCGAATAATATTGCACGCCCCACTTTTCAGTTTTTTATTTGTTAAAAAAGTTTAAATTATCCAACAAATTTCATTCCACTTCAAGATTGTGTCCCACTTGTTGTTGATTCATGACAAAAAATGAAAATGTTATATCTTCATGTTTGAAGCCTGAAATATGGCGAAATGTTGAAAGGTTCAAGGGGGCCGAATACTTTCGCAAGGCACTGTACGTCCTGAAAGTTTATACACACGGGACGAAATAATAACTCTCTTCACTCTTTCTCCTCTTTCTCCTCTCCTCCTCTTTCTCGTCAGTGTCTACAGAGCAGCTAAAGTCTGAGTACTACAGCCTGATGTCCACCAGAGGGCAGTACTCAGACCTGCACAGCCCACACTGTCTGCACAAAGGTGAGGAAGAGTCTGGTCCTTATGAGTCTGGTCCCGTCTGGTCCATATGAATCTGATCCAGTCTGGTCCACATGAGTCTTGTCCAGTTTGGTTGAGACCTGTTTCTCTGCAGTCCCCCGCAGTCCCCTCCTCAGCAGACGGAGGGCGCTGTCTGTGTCTCCTCTCTTGGATCCTGCTCTTGACTTTGGGACCGTGTTTCGGAACACAAACCACAGCTTGGTCACCGTGCTCAACCGGCCAATCACAGCGCAGTACACTCACCTGCTTAGGTAAAGAGACATTTTTATCCAGATATCTATACTTTTACTCAAGACTTACTTTAGACTAGTAAACCTCAGCCACTAATTAGCCATTAGTAGCTAACGGAAAAAAATGAAGGCAAGGCATAGAAGAACTAAAGAAGCGTCACCTCCAGGTTTGGAACCAAGCCCTGGCGATCCAAGATGGCGCCCTTTTCAAATCAATGGGACAGCTAGCGGACTCTCCTACAGTATATTTGGGCATCGTCTGGTCCTCCTGGTTCTGCGCAGTGGACCAGCTCCCATGATGCATTGCACCAAATACGCGTGCGTGGCTCTCATGCCCAGGTACAGAGGGGCTCGGTCGAGTTCTGACCAATCAGCGGGTGGTGATCAGAGCGGAGCCAGAGCGGAGTTATGGCTCGTTCAGACAGCCGACGCTGGAACGCAGCTTTCTCGCGCACCAGACGCACATTCTCTAAATTTCACATGCAGGGGTGTTCAGACCAGAAGTCCTGGCCTTTATTTTGTTTTTTTGTTTTGGCGCAACCAGAAATTGGCTGTGCACCATAATTTTCGTCCTGTTGGAAACATCAGAAAGCAGGTAGGTGCACGGAGTGCACGCATGCATAGCCAAAGCAACGGAAAGGGCATTTTACTTGTTTTAAAGATTATTGGACTAGTTTTGTGGTGCTCAACTTCCGGATTTCCGGACAGAATCTAATTGCGCAACCTTTATTATAGACGAGAGACAATACCGTAAAGTAATGGATGAACGGTGTAAATATGCAATTGTATGCTCTTTATACGCTCTTTGTATGCATTTTTGTATGCTCTTTATACTGCTCTTTTATTCTTAATATATCTACGGATCGTGTGTGCCACAGCGCCACAAACCTGCAGCCACAGCAGCCCTTTAGGATTGGATATGAGTTTATTGTGACGTATGTAATGCGCCCGAGTGAGTTGTTAGCATTAAGCCTAGCCATCTCCTTTGCCACTAACAGAGCCATTTTTAGATATTTCATTTTCGATTTAATTTGAAAAAAACCATTGAACGAATAATACACGGACCGTAGTCACGCGTATTTCCGCTGTTGAAACTAATGTGCCATCACTTCTGCCTTCTATGGGCAGTTTCAAAATCACCGCAGGGGCTGGAAAATGTGAAAAGCCGGCAAAAGCCCCATTCATTTGACGAGTGCCTTTAAAATTTCATAGCAGCTAAACTAGCCTGGTCGTACCACACTATAGTAAAAATTAAATTTCCTACTAAGGTCTGGAGGTGCTCTCAGGTGGAAGGGGTCAACTCCTTTTGCAAATTGAAACGATTGGATCTGAGTTTACCGTGACGTGGTATGTAATGCGCCCGAGTGAGTTGTTAGCATTTAGCCATCGCCTTTGCCACTAACGTAGCCCGTGGGAAGAAGCGCCTGCAATGACATGTGCTAAACATTCTCTTACTCCGGCCTCAGTTTCTTGATAAAACCTGACCGGAATACTTAACTGTCGCATTCTTCGCCATTGCCAAACTTCAACCTGCCCGTCCGGCGCAAACTCTTGACGTCACCCACATCTAACTACAACACCCGCCTCCCGCGCTCGCTGATTGGTCGGATGATATTCAAAAAATGTAATCGCAAACACAGGGACCAGACCCAGACGTTACATGCAGGGAAATGATGATTGACCATAGTGTACGGATGGCTAAGGCCAGGTTACAGCTAAACTAGACTGGTCAAAAAAAAATGCACTCCCCTCATCATTGACTTACATCTAGCCGACTTTTGGACCATCTTGTAAACCTGTTTTTGAAAGGTAAGAAGATATATATATTAGCAATGAATAATTCTTATTCCAGGTCAACCCCCACTGGCCCGGGGTGGTATTGCAAATATGTTGCATGTCATTTTGGACATTTTAGAGCCGGGACCCGCCTGGGCTGTAAAGGGACACCAAAATCTCCACAAAATCTGCATTATCGCGAGAATCCTGCGAGCACGTGGGTCCTTTGGCTCCAAGCATGTAATACTCTATACAGATATTATAATAGATCCATGTTTAGAATTAATCTGAATTGTCACCTAAAGGTGGCCATGTTGGAAACCTAAAGGACTTGATTTGGCGGCCATGTTGGAAACCTGTGCTTTGGTTCACTGATGTTTGTGTTAGCTCCTCCCCCTCTAACCCTGCCCACAGGTGTTAGGTCCCTCCCTCTTACTTCACCTCCTTTCTCTCCTCAGTCCGTCTCTTCCTCCCGTTACGTACCATCCGCTCCTGACCAATCACAGAGGCTACAGCCTTGGCCCCGCCCCGCCGTTGCATCTGCTGACCAATCAAAGAAGCTTTGGCTTAAGTCCCGCCACTCCTCTGCACCTCTTGACAAATCAGAGAGGCCCGTGCTCTGAACCGGTGTGTCAATCAAACGTCCCAAACACAAACGCAGTGAGCAGAGAGTCGCCTCGGGTGAGTGTCACATGATCATCAGCCCAAAGAGTCAGATAGTGACCCCCAGGTCCTTGTGTGTCACAGACCCCCGGCTGTGACCCGCTCGTCAGCAGCAGTGTGGACTCCGCCCCCAAGAGGAACATCAAAGGAGAAACCAGAAGGCCCCGCCCCCCCTGCTCAGTCTCCCCGGTGACACTTTGAACTTTGAAGTATAAATTGAAGTTGCAATAATAGTTGTAGTGGCAGTTATAGCCATAGTAGAAATAGTGATAGTAGTAGTAGTAATAGTAGTAGCAGTAGTAGTAGTTGTAGCAGTAGTTGTAGTAGTAGCAGTAGTATTACAGTTCTACAGTAGTTCCACTCTGTGCTGACTGAGCGCCTTTATCCCATTCATCCTGATGCTCCGCCACATGGATCAGAGCAGAGGATTATTCACCGAGACCCCAGGGGCCAGAGAGATAACACATTTATCACATATGCAGACACACACACAAACACACACGCACACACACACAGTTTTAGACCTGCTTTAAACCTGCTTTTGTCCTGTTTTAGTCCGGCCTTAATCCTGGTTTAGACCTGGTTCTGGTTCACACCTATTTTTTGTTTGCAGGTTACTATGAGCAGTGCAGACTTCAAAGACCAGGACCAGGGCCCGGACCAGGGCCCGGACCAGGGCCCGGACCAGGGCCCGGACCAGGACCAGGACCAGGACCAATCCAGACCCGGATTTGAGCCAGTCTATGAGACCAACTGTCTGTGGGAAGACTGCAGAGACGAGTTTGACTCACAGGAGCAACTGGTGCAGGTAGGCCAGGTCTGGACCAGGTCTGAACCAGGTCTGAACCAGGACTGAAAAGGTCTCTCTCTTCCACAGCACATCCACTCTGCCCACATCGCTGATCGCAGAGACTTTGTTTGTCGATGGAGACTTTGTTCTAGAGAAAAGAAACCGTTCAAGGCGCAGTACATGTTAGTGGTCCACGTGAGGCGCCACACTGGAGAGAAGCCCCACAAGTGTACGGTACGAGTTCTACTGCTACTGCTGCTGCTGCTGTTGTTACTGCTACTGCTGCTGATACTACTACTACTGCTGCAGCTACTTTTCCTGATGTAGTTCCTCCTGGTTGCTCTTGTTTCCTTCTGGTACCTCCTGGTTCGTCCTGGCTCCTCCTGGTCCTTCCTGGTCCTTACTGGTCCCTCACAGATCTTCTCTCCACAGTTCGAGGGCTGCCTGAAGGCGTACTCTCGACTGGAGAACCTGAAGACCCACCTGAGGTCTCACACTGGGGAGAAGCCGTATGTGTGTGAACATCTGGACTGCTCCAAGGCTTTCTCCAACGCTTCGGACCGAGCAAAGCACCAGAACAGGACCCACTCCAGCGAGGTGAGAAGTGACAGCCCCCTGCAGCTCCGACAGAAGCCCTGCCCCCATCTAACAAAGCCGGCCGTCTATTACTAAGCCCGCCCATATCACTAACTTCCGCCTCTCTATCACTAAGCCCCGCCCTCTCTGTCTGACAGAAGCCGTACGTGTGCAGATTTGCTGCGTGTACAAAGCGTTACACCGACCCGAGCTCTCTGCGCAAACACGTGAAGACTGTGCACGGGCCAAGCGCGCACGTAAAGAGCACGCACGTGACCCGGCGACCGAGAGCACCGTGCAGAGGAGAGCAGGAGGACTGCAGCAGCTCTGAGGTGAGAGGAACCACCACAGACATCAGGATTTCACCTGTTTATGACGGATTCAGACCTTGTTTAGACGGAGACGCTGTGGAGACGCTGCAAAAGCAATTTTCAAAAACAACCAAATCAAGCAATGTAGTTCTGGAGGCTGTTTCTCATGGTTTGCGTCCCCACCCCCCTAAAACACAGTCTTTGTGTGAACAAAAGGCCAATCTGATACCCAACTATCTTTTTACTGTTGCAGTGTCTCCAACGGCCTAAGAGCCTGCTCCCGCACACAGCTCTAAAGGCACCGGTAGAGGGTGGTGTCCTCAGACTGCTGCTGCATAACATATCTTTTCTCCACACAGAATTTCATGTTTGTTCTGTGGAGCTGTCAACACATGTTTTATTAATGTTTAAACTAGTGCTGTTAGTTAATTGCGGTAATAACGACGCTAACGATACCCCGCTTTAACGCTGTCCATTTTTTTAACACACGTTCGTATTATGACTGAGAACACATAGCCTCAAAATGCCTCATGAGGCGACAGTAGCTCAGTTGGTTGAGCATTGGCCTTTGAGCCAGAGGGTTGTGGGTTCGAGCCTGACTTTCACCATCTACTCCCACTGTGGGCTGTCGTTGTGTCCTTAGGCAAGACACTTTACCCCCATTGCCTAGAATGAGTCTGGTGTGTGTGTGAACGGTTGGTGGTGGTCAGAGGGGTCGATGGCACATACTGGTTGCCTCGCCGCTGTCAGTGTGCCCCAGGGCAGCTGTGGCTACAGTAGTAGTTTCTTTTTATACCACCGTGTATGGAGTGAAAGAATAATGACATGTAAAGCGTCTTTGAGTGTCCAAAAAAGCGCTATGTAAAACCGATGCATTATTATTATTATTATTAAAATACAGGCTCCAGGCTTCTACCACTAACACGTATCTGATCCAGGCTTCTACCACTAACACGTATCTGATCCAGGCTTCTACCACTAACACGTATCTGATCCAGGCTTCTACCACTAACACGTATCTGATCCAGGCTTCTGCCACTAACACGTATCTGAACCAGGCTTCTACCACTAACACGTATCTGATCCAGGCTTCTACCACAGGCATGTACAGTATCTGAATACATAAGGTCTGTGAGTCCTGTACGTAAGGTACAGTGTGAGAAAACAAAAGCAGTCGTGCTCACTGCTAATTACAGGGCGGCACGGTGGCTAGTGGTTTGCACTCTCACTTCTCAGCAAGAAGGTCCTGGGTTCGAATCCCGTTTCCGTATTCTCCACGTGCTGTTCTATGCATGTTCTCTGCGTAAGTTTCCTCCGGGGACTCCGGTTTCCCCTACCACTAAAAACATGTGTAATAGTTCTGGCATGCGCCTTCTGTACTGGCGACCCCACTCCCATCTCTGTATGGAGTGAGAGGACAAATGCCCACAAATGTAAACCGCTTTGTGACAGGTCTGTGAAAGAGGTGAGAGGTTATGGGGCGTTCACACTGGACCATGCTGCAGCGAGTTTACGCAAACTCAATGGTGACATACGACAGTGTAAGTATCTGCATGTGAGTTGCGGCAGATGTGTTTTTGCAGTGGATTTGGGTATGGAGACGAGATGCAGGCGGCGAACACAGGAGATGCAATTCACTCAACTTCCTCCTTCCATGTGTGGCAACCAATTAGAGAGCAGCGAAGTGGTCACGGGCAAGAACCAAAGAGTGTAAATATTGTATTAAATACAAAAGTATTGGATGATTCTCTTTCTGGGTTCACCCCCACTGGCCCGGAGTGGGATTACAAGTACTGTATGTCAGCGCACATGCTCATGGACGTTTTTGACACAACAATCAAAACAATCAAAACAAGAGCTAAACCTGGACTGAACCAGTTTTTTCCTGGAGCTTCAATATTTAGCGCACATATTTGTTACTTCAATACAAGATAAAAAATTGGATTATGACCATGCCCTGTGAAAAACAGGAAATCCACAATTTTGAAAAAACTTTCAAAATTCACACCACGGACATACGGACGGACGGACGGACAGACAGAAATCTACACATGTAGGATCAAAAGTAAGCCAAAGAGGTGCGGCAAAAGCTCAATTGTTTAGTTGAGAATTTCAATTTTGCTCCTGTTTACTCATACAAAGATTGACTAACACAAAACTTGCTTTGGTTTGTCAACTCCTGGGTCTACGTCACCTGGATATGAAAAAAGATTAATTGCAGCATTTGCGCGCCATACAGAGTGAGCCAAAGATATATTGTACATGGAGAGGAAAACATTTCATTACGAAACAAACCAGCCTCAGCCGTTTCAAATATTTGGCTCAAAATCGCCTAAATCCTCTAAACATTTGTAGCTTTAAATGTTTGCTACAGAATTGTGATTGGTTAAACGCATGGATCTATTATGATATCTGAATAGAGTATTACAGCAGGACCCATGTGCTGTACTGCAAACTAAATTTGACTAAATTCACGTGGGCTACCCAGAAGAATTCCCCAAAGAACTCAATATAAACTAAAACAGCTCGACCTCAGCTGACAGAGAACCTACAGCTTTCATAAAGATCGGATTTTTTGCGGATTTTAGTGTCCCTTGTCATCCTGAACTTTTAGTCATCTTAAATCCTTTGGTTTTCTTTAAATTCACACTTTAGTGCCACAAACTCTGGCAGTTAAAGAAGCTATACCCGATTTTTTTTCTAAGTAGTTCATAAAAATGCTTTTTACTACATACAAGTTGTATCATAATACATCATTTAATTGAAAACTTGAGGTAATTGATTCAGCTGTCTAAGAATTACAAGCAGTGAAAAGTGCTAAGTAGAGTCCGAGCGGGCCGCTCTTTCTCCTCCGCTCACAGAACGAGCAGCGAACAGCCTGCGTCCTCTAGCCTCTACAGCGCTGCTCAACACCAGGGCTTCGACTTCAAAATTCGAATATAAATTCTAAAATAAAAAATGATGAACAAAATAATTGAATAAAAAAATGTGAACAAATATTAGACAACCCTTGTAATTCGAAATGTATTTAATGACTGCAAATAAAATAGTTAGCTCCCAAAGGTTTCACCGGGACGTGCTAGGCAGGTAACAGCTAAGCTAGCTAGCTGTTTCGTGGTAACTTCCGGGTTTTTCGCAATCGCTTTTTGTCACTTTGAAACAGTATTTTTGTTATGAAAACGTTAACAGCAAATTCTGAAATCATCCGTGCATGTGTGTTAAGGATGTATATGTGTACTGTATTGTCCGATTGACGTTTAATGGTGTTGATTGATAGATATGTAGTTGTTTATTGAGCGTGGCTAGCTCCGCTAGCTCCGTTGGCTTCTCTACACAGACGAGTGTGTAGTGACAGGTGCTGATAGCTTGTTGTACTTGCAGAGTAATGGCAGTATTTTACACACCTGAATTACAAACAGAGGTTGCATTGGGGCTTCGGTCATTATTGGTTTGAGAGTTCTGTTATCAAGAAAAAATTATCGGAAGAATTGCTGCTGCTGCTTTGAGGAGCTCTATAACAAATTATAATTCAATATTAGAATATATTCTAAGGTTTTAAATTAATACATTCGGACGCAAAACTAGCGGTATTCTTTTACTTATATATTGTGTTAGCAGTGCGTTGCTTTAGTGCCATTTCATCGGTGATTGTTGCACAGCTTACAAGAAGTTGCGCTAATGCTAATGTTAGCATATTTATCAGATCGCAAATAAAACTAGGTGGCTCTGTGTTATGAGAGCGTAGGGGAAATGAGAAGCCATTGAGTGAGTTGGGGGGCGGTGCTAAACATTCAAACATTGCAGAAACGGGTATAGCGCCTTTAAGTGTTTGGCTCCTGCTCGAACTCTGCTCTAGCTCTGCTCTGAGCATCAGCTCTGATTGGTCAAAGCGCGGCTAAGCCCCTCTGTGCACGTGCATGAAAGCCACACACGCGTATTTGGCGCAACGCATAATGGGGGCTCGTCCACTGCGCAGAACCGAGAGGACCAGGCAATGCCCAAGTATGGGCGAGTTCCAAAATAGTGTGTATTTTCTTTAAATCCACACTTTAGTGCCACAAACTCTGCTCGTCTGGCTCTCGCTCTAACTCCTGCTCTGATGAACTGCTCTGATTGGTCAGAGCGCGGCCGAGCCCCTCTGCGCACGTGCATGAGACCCACACACGCATATTTGGCGCAACGCATCATGGGAGATAATCCACTGCGCAGAACCGGGAGGACCAGACGATGCCCAAATACAGGCGAGTTTCTCTAATATGTCAGCGACCGTGCCGGCACAAAGCGCCACTGAGCACAACCATTCATTTGAATACGGCGCCATCTTGAATCGCCGGGGCTTGATACTAAGTCCGATTAACACCAAACTAGGGTTGCCGAGATGAACCGGTTTTACAATAATCACAACAATAAAAACTTGCAATAGGTTAACTTTGAAGATTTTAGATGGCACGGCTTACCAATGGTACGGAAAACTCTCCCTTCGAGGAACAACGTTAAGTACTGGCCGCTGCATACGGAGCAGCGCAGACTAACCGGTAAATTGAAGATGGCAGGACAAGCTCCCCCAGAGTTATATCCCTGAAAAAACGACTTAAGTCACTTTGTGTATCCAAAAGATCAGCAAGGTGTTGTTGTCGCTGATGGAATTCTAGCCTCTACAGCGCTGCTAAACACGGTAGCATGTTAGCAGAATTGGCTCCTCTTCTTGCTGTCACTGCAGACACAGCAAAACAGCCCAAATGACACAACAGTGAGGAAGAGAAGAGGGAACTAAAGCAAAAAAATGATCAAAGAAGAAATCAAGCCCGGGTGAACATAACTAGTTTACATCGTATCCTCTGGAGAGACTTGTCTATGGGAGAGACCTGCCTCGGACTATCTGTGCTCGGACTATCTATACTCGGACCACATTCTGACGCGAAACTAGCGGTAATCTTTCAGTTATATATTTTGTTAGCAGTGCGTTGTTTTTGTACCATTTCATCAGTGATTGTTGTACAGCTTACGAGAAGTGGCGCTCATGCTAATGTTTGCATATAGATCACAAATAAAACTAGATGGCTCCGTGGGATGAGAGCGCAGGGGAAATGAGAAGCCTGTGAGCGAGTTGAGGGGCAGTGCTAAACATTCAAACCTTGCAGAAACGGGTATAGATCCTTTAAATAGTCCGGGTGAAACAAACAGCGCACCGACGGTTCCCAACTAACGCTACAAACATCTCTCGTGACAAACACATTGTTATGGCGCCTCATGGAGTTTTACTGTTACATTTGGCTAATGCTACTCTTTGTCCAATGTTCCAAATGTAGAGAGACATGCTTACAAAACGGATTTAAACTACACTATCGGTGACGCAGTTGAGCATAGTAATAACTATGATGATAATAGCATCGTAGCTGCAGAGCAGTGGCAATTGTTTTGTATTTCATAATTCCTTCATTTTCATTACAAAGTTGTGTTTGTTTAAATGTCACTACTGAAACATGTTGAGTTGTTTAAGCTCTAAAGTTTATACTGGTAAATAAATTGAGTCATGTTTTACCCAATGATCTGATTTCTTTGTTTCACTTTCACAACCCAGACATTAATGAATGCGCCTTATGTATGACATTAAATGCATAATTTGATAGTGCGCCTTATAATCAGGTGTGCCTAATGGTGCGAAAAATACGGTAATAAAACTGCTTCATTGTCAATTAAGTTGTCCAAATGTTCAGAAATAAGTGCCAAAACTGTCTCAGTGTGCCCGTAAATGTAAAGGATTCTGTATATCAAAAGTGAAAGTATTACAGCACCTTCCTATACATGAACATTTGTATACTTAGAAAATATCTATAATGTTCAGCTATTTATTTATATGTATATTTGAAATGTAATACACACAATAAAATAATGTAAAATATTGTATGATAATCTTATTTTATCCATTTATTGTTTATTGAGTCGATAATAATGAATAATTGTAAAATCGCAATTTTCCCTCTCACAATAATCGTGTCTCAAAAATGTGAAATTGTGGCAACGATAGACCAAACGTGAATCAGTTGTTCAACTCTAGGGTCTAGGTCAGCGGAAAGTGTAAAACATGAAATTGCAGCATTGCCAACAGGGATCAAAAATGTATGTTTTGGGGGTTTTTTCTGAAACTAAAAAAATTACGCAATAGTGCCACCAATTAGATTTGGCCATTTAGTTTGTTCTAGAGCTACAATATTTGGTACACATATTCATCACCTCAATACAAGATACAATTGTATTATGACCACACCCTCTGACAAACAGGATCCACAATTTTTTTTAAACTTCCATTCACACACAACAACTCTGTCTCAGTTGTTTCACAGATTTCTCAAAATTGCTCCACATCTTCTTAAAGGTGCATTGCGTAAGTGGCAGAGTTTTTGCATTAGTTTGCCCCCTTTTGGCGTTTTATGTAACTGCATCCAATGCCGTGCACGCGCCCTGTACACTTTACGCTCTCGACGTGAAGACGCATCTGGTTCTCAAATTCTCACTTCTCACAACATTTCTAGTTACATCATGTTTTCTCAGGTAAGAAAACTAATTATTTGGCATTAAATTAGTTGGACTAATTGTATTAGTCCTTTTTGATAGACGAAATTTGGCTAGCTAGTTAGACAATGAAAGTTTGATTATTTGTGTGCAAGACAATGATACATTACTGCCTTTTTCAAGAACTATCTGTAATAAGTGATGAAAGTAATTAGGCACTATTGACAGTGAGCTAGATTTGTCCAAGCCCAGTAGCTAGCTAGTTAGATTGTCCCTGTGCCACACTGGATCTTAGCCAAAAGGCCGAGAAGCTTCTGTGCCTTCTGCCCACTCTGTAACAATGAGTCTTTTACAATACATCTGGGTACTTCTTACCTGTAACTGCCATTTATGTAAACCCACATTTCAGTAGTATTCCTGTATAAGTAAAACAAAGTGTATATACAACTCAATGGATTTAGATACTCCAGCACAGGGTGCAAGAAAAAGAAAATCAAAAGCCCCATTTACACAAGATCGATTTCGAATAACTTTATTTCAAAAAGTAAAAATTCTTGTAAATATTTTTCTGTGTTATATTAAAAAAAAAAAGTATGGTGATGTTGTATTTCTTCAACGTTAGGGAACAGATGTCGTCTCCTGGGACATAGAAAAGACACATTTTACAAAATTGTAACATTCCAAAGTAAAACTTGAAGATACACAAAAATCCAATCAATATTATTCAGTATGGAAAATAGGGCAGAGAGAAGAAGCTAAATCTTAGAATCATACAACACTGGAACGTCTCTTCAAGGGGTCAGTTGAGCCCTATACATTAGTTATTCTTGATAACAAGCTGGTTAGTTACACAAACATACCTGTCCTCTCTGGACCTGTGTACGCATCAATTCTGAAGTAGGAGGTGGGTTAACACCAGACACTGGTCCAAGTGCTCGTGGGTCCTCCGGTATGATACTCCGTCTGGTTGGGAGGCCACCAGCAGACTGAAGTCGTCTGCCAATGATTTGTGTCTGAAGGTCAGGAATGTAGTTGTAATCCTTTGCTTCTTTGACAGTGTGTACCCGATACCGTTTCAATTTTTTGCTGTACAGTCTCCAAGGCTACAAGATAAGTTGTTTCACGTTAGAAGACAACTGTATTCATGACTTGTCAATAGGAAGTAGTGAATGATACTCACGACACTTGGCCTTTGCTGTTCACATGTGCCGGACGGTTGTTGTGGGGATTGTAGTCCAAAGCTGCAAGAAATGTTCTTGCTTCATAAACAAAAAATGAAAATCATTCCAAAACCAGAATATGGTTTTGGAATGATTCCAGCTGTGAGGTGGTCCTGCAGGGAAACTAAGTAGGAAATAGAAGAAACACAAATCATTCCAAAAAATAAAAGGTCATCTCTTACCGAAATGTGAGGAACTTCTCCACATCCTTCAGCCATCTGCGGTTCAGCACGATCTGTGACAGTGCCACATGTGCTTTAGAGCCAGGCGATACAGGCTCTTTAGTGCCATCATCCCCCAAAGGACCATGAAGGAATCTACCCAGGTCCCACTCATGCACGCCACTAACATGGTGCAGTACACCTCGCCAAATGTCCTAATCAGCAAACATAAGAAAATGAAAAGGTATAGTGAGAATGAGAATATAAATTCTAGTTCTACTTTACTTACCATGAACTCGTCTCGGCTGCTTGCATGCTGACAGGCATACCAAAAATGGTTAACAATGTCCTTGATCCACACTAGGATTTGTTTTTGACCTGCTAGGACACCCGCCTATCAAAGTTATTAGTTTTGGTTAACTCTATAAAAAATAATTGAATGAGAAACGATATGAACTATCACTTACAGCATGAAGCCTCTTAGTTAAGATTTTTTGCAGCATGCCAGACATCCAGGGAATGGGTAACTCCATGATCCATATATCTTCCCCGTTCTGGATCTATTTTAAAGCTCAAAAATGCAGTAAGCACAAAATATAGCACATCAAATAATACAGACAAAAATACTTACGCATGAGGGCTGCAATTTGCACATTGGCGTCAGTCACAATCTCTTTGACTTTTAATTCTTTCGATAGATCATCAAATGTTTTGATGAATGCTGCTTTCTCCAGAGAGACACTTTTCCCACCAACTTGCCTTTTTATCAACATTGACAACACTGATGATGTCCATTGTGTCAAGTTCCATCGTTGTGTATGTGCAAAACATTGCAGAATGACCTTGTTGAATCAAATATGGTGAAACACAAAGTAATACACAATAACTATGTTGTAAAGTGAAAGGCTTCAGACTTACCTGGTGAGTCCATTCTCCCGTCAGCTGTAACAGATATAGTACTTATAGTGACTGCAAATATGACAAAGAGAGTCCTTTAACACATTACTTACCTCTATAAAAGGCTGCACCCCTGCCACAGATAAGTCATCCCTGTTAAAAAATGCAAGTTTGTTTCAGTGATATTGTCAATAAGGCTTGAATCAAACATAATGCCAATCCTATTTTTCAGGTAAAAAAGTACCGGTCAGATTCTACGATACCGATTGAACTCGGGAGATCACCAGTCGCAGTAGTGGTTTTAGGAGTTGAGGCCTTGGGACTCCTTGATGCCATAATTTTTTCATAGCTGTAAAGTAAATAAATACACGTTACCTATACACACATGCATCTCATTGTATTACAGTTGGACTAACCACATTCTATTACTAATATACATAGTTCCCACATGACGTCACTACATACGGGGATTTGCCGACCCGGCGCCATTTGTGTTGGCATTCTGTGGGCAAAACAATAGAAAAAGAAGCTGAAACGTGTTAATGTCGTGATAAAGTTGAAAATGGTCATCTCCTGCTGGGTCAATGGATGTTCAAATCGTGCCGGAGGTTCCGTTAAACTTGGATTTTACAGTATACCCATGATTAGACTTCATGAATGTGAGAAGACTAAGCTTTTGTCAGAACAACCACGGAGGTTATGGCTTGCGAAGATAAACAGGCAAGAAACTCCCTCAAAACACGCAAGAATATGCTCGGAGCACTTTGTGTCAGGTGCGTATCGTATCTTATAATGTGTTGACAGACGTAATTTACTCAGTACTAACTTGTGTATGCTGATATCTGGTAACTTGAGAGTTTCATTATTTAGCGTTACATTACTTTATTATGAGGAGGATCGGTGTCGCGTCCGAGGCTCTCGAGGGCAACGTAAATGTATTAAATAGATAATAATAGTTCTATGGTGGGCTAAAACAATGTTCACAAACAGCATTGCTTCTGTAAAAAGATCTGTGTCATAAAATAAACTGCTCTTTACGCCTGGAAAAATCAGTTGCCCACCATTCACCAAAACATACGGTCAAAAACGCGGAAATAAACAATAACAGCAATCCAGAGTGTCCGTGTGGCATTAGCATTAATTAAATTAATTGTTAATATAATTAAAATAATTAAATGGAGCTCCAACTGGTATTAAATCTAAAGTTTTTGAGAAATGTTTGCATTGCTTGTTAATTTTTACTGCATAATTTGATCAAATATGTAAAACATGTCCGTAGCACGTTAAACTGTGGTGCCATTGTATTAATATACAATTATTTGCTCAAAAGTTGCCCTTTTTTTCCAATTTGCGTTTGAATATCTACATTTATTCTCATTCTTCTGTTTAATGGAATGCACAAACACAGCAGCGTGCCATCAAAGATGGCGTCTCCGAGGAGGTCATGTGACATTCATTGGTCTGTGGGAACTATGTATAGTCTGCAATTCTACGATACATATAGTACAGGTACTGAGGTACATATAGTACAGGTACTGAGGTACATATAGTACAGGTACTGAGGTACATAATCACTGCATCTACAAGTTTCATAATGGTTTACATACGCAGTAGCAGCCCAATAATGTACACAGCTGTACTACGCTAACACATGCTAACGTTCTTTCAAAAGCTCTAATCAACGTAACAGTCATTATTTCTAAACATTCTTTATACAGAACAAAAAAAATGCTGAATGTGTCTCGCCAATCTGTTACTGTTCAGAAAAAAACCGAACCAAATGGAATCAGTCCATGTTGCTAAGTCAAAAAGCTAACACATAATAATGCTATTTCACTTTGTATTCGTGCAAGACACTAGGACGTTTAGAACTGAGTCACCGTCTTACCTTCTAATCAAGATAAACGCCAAATGAGGATACATTTTTATCCCCAGAGCGTTTCGGCTTCTCCATTTCTCAAACGCATGGCCGAGAGCGACTCGGGTCTGAGCTCTCCGCCGGTCGGCCTCTCGCTTCGTTCTTTTCGTACAGTAGCACTAGTGACAATCTTCCAGAGTAGACGGTGATTCTGAAGCTGGTCTTTCTGGTTAAGAAACTGCTGGATCCATCTTCAAATACGCGTGATACGAGGACGGGACAGATCCACTGAACGCGAGGGAACATATGGAGCCAAAACAGTGAACGGGCACGCGCATTGCGTCACTTCCGCTTAAACAGCGCGCGAGAAAGCGACCCGAGTCAGGGATTTCTCAATCACTGTATGCGCTCCCAGAAGCAACCACAGTGAATCTGCTAATGCTCAGTTTACACACCAGGCAACTGCTGATGGACCACAGATGCAAAATTTGGCATTTTTCAACTTACGCAATGCACCTTTAAGATGTGGAGCAATCTTCTAGGTAGCATCAAAAGTTAGCTGCAGAATTGTGAACAGTTCAACGGTGTGCAAGCAGCGGACCAGCAAGTTTGGACTTTTTTCCCCAAATTTGACAATTTCCTTTGCTTCTGTTTACTCATAAAAAGTTTGATAACCAAATGTGAATCAGTTGTTAAACTCTTGGAATTTGGTCAGCTGAAAGTCAAGCACGTGATATTTCCATAGACTGTAAAAATGAATGGACGTAGTCACGCCTATCTCCGCCGTTCTAACAAATGGGCCAAAAATTGTGCTCTACTGGAGAAATCCAAAATGGCCCCGAGTGGTCCCGCCCACAAGAAAATTGTGAAAAAACGCATCTGCGCATGCGTCAGCCGGCGCAGCTCCATTCATTTGAACGAGAGACTTCAAAAATTCCCCGCGAGTAAACTAGAGTGGACCAAAAAAAAATCACCCCCCTCAGCATTGACACACATGTGGAACGGAGCTTTGGGCCAAGAGCCAACTTTTGGTCCATCCTGTAAAGACGTTTTCGAGAGGTCTGCCAACGCTATATGTTAGCATTGGCTAATTCTCATTCCGGGTCCACCCCCATCGGCCCGGGGTGGTATTGCAAGCATGTCAGCGCACGTCATTTTGGCCACTTTTGAGCCGGGTTAGCCCCACTGGATATTTCAGCATTAGTGCACCCTACAGAGCGATCCAAACAATTACATGTACACTTTGCTAAACCAGCCTCGGCCGTTATGCCAACAGGGCTCAATTCCCTTCACATACTGTAAACAAGTGTAGCATCAAAAGTTAGATTCAACATTTTTATCAGACTAACAGTTTTGTTTTGAGTTTTCAAAAAGATGTGTGGGAGCAGGAAAGGGACGGGACCTCAGCTCATGAGGATGAGGATGATGAAGATAATGATACATTTGACTCTTTTGTGTTTGTGCTGCTGACGACAGACGCTGCTCAGGTGAGGACTACACTTTCTAATACACAGAGACCAGAGAGAGACCAGAGAGAGACCAGAGAGAGACCAGAGAGAGACCAGAGAGAGACCAGAGAGAGACCAGAGAGAGACCAGAGAGAGACCGGAGAGAAACCGGAGAGAGACCGGAGAGAGACCAGAGAGAGACCAGAGAGAGACCAGAGAGAACAGAGAGAGACCAGAGAGAGACCAGAGAGAGACCAGAGAGAGACCAGAGAGAGACCAGAGAGCGACCAGAGAGAGACAAGAGAGAGACCAGAGAGAGACCAGAGAGAGACCAGAGAGAGACCAGAGAGAGACCAGAGAGAGACCAGAGAGATACCAGAGAGATACTAGAGAGAGACCACAGAGAGACTTTCCTTCCTCCTGGGTCCTTGTCTGAATTCTGTCTCTCACTTGTCATTCACACTGGGCAGATGTGCGGTCAGGAGTTTCTCTAATGAATATTAAAAATGTGGTAAATCTGTCCCACTGAGAGGCGATCATAGACCTTTGTCTCCAGGAGCCGTCAGGGGCCAACAGGAGCCGCCAGGGGCCAGGGACCTGAGGGACGAAAGCTGATAATGAGACAGACACGCATTGGAATCTCTGGTTTGAGCTTCTGTAATGAGGCCCTGGTTTAAACAATATCCAGAGGCGAGAATGAGAGAGAATCTATGTTTAAAGCTGGGGTACGGATGAGGGCTCGAATGCAGGAGTAATCGAATCAACAGGCTTCTATCACTACGCTGCCGAACGGAACGTTTCAAGAGATCCTTTGTTCCTTCGGCTGTCAGACTGTACAACAAACCTGGATGAGTCTTCTGCTGCTGGACACCAGAATTTCTCCTAAGGGATATCAATAAAGTATCTACAGTATCTATCTAAAGCTGGGGGATGTAACTCTCAGACCAATGTATAAACCCATGGCTCTGGTTCAAATAATGACTCACGGCTTTGATGGAGACAAAACGTTGTGGTCTGAATCTGCAATTATAACTACATGCAATTTATTTATGAGTGTGTGTGTGTGTTGCAGGCGTGCACAGTGCTTGTAGGGAGCACTGTCGCTGTGGAGAGCATAAGGGGGACCCCAGACCACAGTGAGTCTTCAGAGGGTCTCCAAGATGTCTGCCTTTGGTCTCCAAGATATCTGCCACTGGTCCCCCCAAGATGACCAAAGAGAGAGACCAGAAAGAGAGACCAGAGAGAGAGAGACCAGAGAGAGAGACCAGAGAGAGAGACCAGAAAGAGAGACCAGAGAGAGAGAGACCAGAGAGAGAGACCAGAGAGAGAGAGACCAGAGAGAGAGACCAGAGAGAGAGACCAGAAAGAGAGACCAGAGAGAGAGAGACCAGAGAGAGAGACCAGGAGAGAGAGACCAGGGAGAGAGACCAGAGAGAGAGACCAGAGAGAGAGACCAGAGAGAGAGACCAGAGAGAGAGACCAGTGAGAGAGACCAGGGAGAGAGACCAGAGAGAGAGACCAGACAGATAGACCAGAGAGAGAGAGACCAGAGAGAGAGACCAAAGAGAGAGACCAGGGAGAGAGACCAGAGAGAGAGAACAGAGAGAGAATAGAGAGAGAGACCAGAGAGACTAGAGAGAGAGACCAGAGAGAGACCAGAGAGAGAGACCAGAGAGAGAGACCAGAGAGAGAGACCAGAGAGAGAGACCAGAGAGAGAGACCAGACAGATAGACCAGAGAGAGAGAGACCAGAGAGAGAGACCAGAGAGAGAGACCAGAGAGAGAGACCAGAGAGAGAGACCAGGGAGAGAGACCAGGGAGAGAGACCAGAGAGAGAGACCAGAGAGAGAGACCAGAGAGAGAGACAAGAGAGAGAGACCAGAGAGAGAGACCAGAGAGAGAGACCAGAGAGAGAGACCAGGGAGAGAGACCAGGGAGAGAGACCAGAGAGAGAGACCAGACAGATAGACCAGAGAGAGAGAGAGACCAGAGAGAGAGACCAAAGAGAGAGACCAGGGAGAGAGACCAGAGAGAGAGACCAGGGAGAGAGACCAGAGAGAGAGACCAGGGAGAGAGCCAAGAGAGAGAGACCAGAGAGAGAGACCAGAGAGAGAGACCAGAGAGAGAGACCAGAGAGAGAGACCAGAGAGAGAGACCAGAGAGAGAGACCAGGGAGAGAGACCAGAGAGAGAGACCAGACAGATAGACCAGAGAGAGAGAGAGACCAGAGAGAGAGACCAAAGAGAGAGACCAGGGAGAGAGACCAGAGAGAGAGACCAGAGAGAGAGACCAGAGAGAGAGACCAGAGAGAGAGACCAGAGAGAGAGACCAGGGAGAGAGACCAGAGAGAGAGACCAGGGAGAGAGACCAGAGAGAGAGACCAGGGAGAGAGACCAGGGAAAGAGACCAGAGAGAGAGACCAGACAGACCAGAGAGAGAGACCTGTTGGGGACCTTGGCTCTGGCTGATTCTCCTCACGCTCAGATAGAAGTGTTGGATTCAGATGATGTCGTCGCTGGTTGCTGATGATGTCGTGTCTGTGATTGGTGATGATGTCGCCGTAATTCCCGGGTGATTGGCGTTTGCAGAGCGCTGGAGCGGAGCGGCGGCGGCGGACATCTTGAGTGCGTCTGTCAGCGGCCGTCACAGCGATGAGGAAAACTCCATCTGCGAAAATGAATGGTTAGAAACAAAGTGACAGATGTGACGACGTGTCCTTGAGCCAAACACTGATGAGGTCCTGCTTCCACAAAGATCTGTTTATATTTGTTCATAAGAACCAGACATGAAACTACTGTTCTAATAAAGACTATTTTAAATAAACACGAGTTTGGTCCATAATCTTCTTACATACACAGTGACATTAGAGCAACCTCCTTCTTTAGTCCTACTTTAGTCCTGTTTTCGACCTCCTTTAGTCCTACTTTAGTCCTGCTTTAGTCCTACTTTAGTCCTGTTTTAGACCTGTTTTAGACCTTCTTTAGTCCTACTTTAGCCCTGTTTTTGACCTCCTTTAGTCCTACTTTAGTCCTGCTTTAGTCCTGCTTTAGACCTGATTTAGACCTACTTTAGTCCTGCTTTAGACCTACTTTAGTCCTGCTTTAGCCCTACTTTAGTCCTGCTTTAGACCTACTTTAGTCCTGCTTTAGACCTACTTTAGTTCTGCTTTAGACCTACTTTAGTCCTGCTTTAGACCTACTTTAGTCCTGCTTTAGACCTACTTTAGTCCTGCTTTAGACCTGCTTTAGTCCTGCTTTAGACCTACTTTAGACCTACTTTAGTCCTGCTTTAGCCCTACTTTAGTCCTGCTTTAGACCTACTTTAGTTTAGTCCTGCTTTAGACCTATTTTAGTCCTGCTTTAGACCTATTTTAGTCTTGCTTTAGATCTACCCTAGTCCTGATTTAGTCCTGCTTTAGTCCTGCTTTAGACCTACTTTAGACCTGCTTTAGTCCTGCTCTAGACCTGTTAAAATTATATACATTTCTCATATATTTTCTGTCCACGTTTCCCATTTATGCTAAAATCCGTCTGTTTGAACACGTCGCCATCTGCCTCTGGGACCCTGAGACCAGACCAGGTCCAGGACTCAACCTGGACCAGAGACCGGACTCTAAAGTGGATCCACAAACCCTCCGCCAGCAGCTGAGCAGTGACATCACAGCACACAGCTTTTCTAATAATAAATTCTACTCAGGGACAAGACACTGCAGACTGTGGCAGCATCATCCTCTGATCTGTAATCTGCGTCTGAATCACAAACTCTGATCACATGACTTTAGTCTCACATAACATTTAAAGCTGGGGTCTGTAACTTTCTGCCTTTCTGGGCTGAGAGCTGATTGGGTGAGAGAGGGGGTCCTGTCTTTGTTCATGAATGTGAGAAATACATAAAACTAGTGACAGAAGCGAGTGTTTTAGAGCCAGAACTGGAGACAGGGATTTAACACAGAGTTCTATTGTTGTGATATGAAAGTTACAGACCCCAGCTTTAAATATGTTTCAGATTCATGTCAGACGCTTCTCAAATCGGCGACGGATTCATAAATGTAGATTTTCTCAGAGCAAGAGGACAATTCTGCAGAGGCTCGTTATCTGGTCCCCTCAAGACCTAGGGCCCAGGACTCAGGACCCAGGACCCAGGACCTAGGGCCAGAGTCCAAGAGAGCTGAGCGACAGTGCTGAAATCCTGATGAAGACTCAACCAAGACTGAAAACTGCAGGAGAAACGAAATGTTGAAATGTGTGACAAAGATTTAAGAATAAATACAATAAATATGTACTTGTTTCTGGTCTCTCTCTGGTCTCTCTCTGGTCTCGCTCTGGTCTCTGTCAAAGCCACTCTGTAAGTGATTGATGATGTTGTGGTTAAACTGGAGTAAATTAAATTAGCCTGTTCCCCACATGCCCTTGGCCCCCCGCGGTCATGTGACAGCCCCTGTGAGGCGTGGGGATGACGGACAGATGGAGCACTTTGAGCCCAAAACGGCAGATAGTGACTCACAGCGTTCTCTCTGACACTAAAGACACCGTGACAGATGAAGACACAGACCCCAGCTTTAAACAAAGTGTTTTTTTATATAATGTAAAAAACACATTTTCTGTCAACATTTCAGGGGAGTCCTGTCAGGATCAACTGGGAAATTTCAGTTTGAGTGATTTTGGCCTATTCTTCCACTTCGAGAAAGACCTGCCCTCGTCCTGCTTCAGAGCCGTTTTAGACCTGCTTTAGTCCTGTTTTAGTCCTGTTTTAGACCTGCTTTAGACCTGTTTTAGACATGCTCTAGTCCTGCTTTAGACCTGCTTTAGACCTGCTTTAGTCTTGCTTTAGTCCTGCTTTAGTCCTGCTTTAGTCCTGCTTTAGACCTGCTTTAGTCCTGCTTTAGACCTGCTTTAGACCTGCTTTAGTCCTGTTTTAGACATGCTCTAGTCCTGCTTTAGTCCTGCTTTAGACATGCTTTAGACCTAGACCACTGTCGACCATGAGATCCTCTTACAGAGATTAGAGGACTGGGTTGGCGTCGCTGGCACCGCCCTAAGTTGGTTTAGGTCTTACCTTGAAGACGTACTTTGTGGAGATTGGAAACTGTGTCTCAGATCATATGGCCCTGACCTGTGGAGTACCACAGGGGTCGATCCTGGGACCTCTTCTGTTCAATCTCTACATGCTGCCGTTAGGTCAGTTAATACGCAGAAACAAAGTGTCCTATCATAACTATGCAGACGACACTCAGATCTATGTCTCACTGACTGCAGGAGAACATGGACCAGTGGACTCACTCCTTCACTGTATCCAACAGATCAGTGAGTGGATGCAAAACAACTTCCTTCAGCTAAACGCAGACAAAACTGAAATGATTGTCTTTGGTCCCCAGAAACAAAGAGAGAGCGTCATCTGCTTACCTACAGTCTCTCTCCCTAAAACCTTCAAACAAGGTCAGAAATCTAGGGGTAATACTGGACTCAGACTTAAATTTTAATAGCCACATCAAATCAGTAACATCAGCAGCTTTTTACCATCTAAAAAACATTGCCAGGATCAAAAACATAGTGTCTAAAGCAGACCTGGAGATTATTATCCATGCATTTGTCTCCAGTAGGTTAGACTACTGCAATGGCCTGCTCACAGGTCTGTCCAAACAGGCTGTAAAACAACTGCAGTACATTCAAAATGCAGCAGCTTGAGTCCTGACTAGAACCAGGAAGTACGACCATATTAGTCCAGTCCTCAGGTCTCTGCACTGGCTTCCTGTGGCTTAGAGAATAGACTTTAAAACAGCTCTGCTTGTGTACAAGTCTCTCCATGGCCTCGCACCAAAATATATTAGTGACATGTTAGTCCCATATGAACCAGCCCGGACTCTGAGGAGCACAGGGACTGGACTCCTGTTAGTGCCCAGAGTCAGGACTAAACATGGGGAGGCTGCTTTTCAGATTCATGCTGCTAAAATCTGGAACAGTCTTCTTGAAGATGTGAGACAGGCCTCCTCTCTGACAATGTTTAAACCCAGGTTAAAGACAGTTCTGTTTAGCTGTGCATACAACTGAGGGATTTTATATTTTTATCTTTCTTTTTAATGTTCTGTGATTATTTATGATTTTAATGCTATCTTATTTGGTTCAGCACTTTGAATTGCCTTGTGTATGAATTGTGCTATATAAATAAACTTGCCTTGCCTTGCCTACTTTAGTCCTGCTTTAGTCCTGCTTTAGACCTGCTTTAGTCCTGCTTTAGTCCTGCTTTAGTCCTGCTTTAGACCTGCTTTAGTCCAATTTTAGACCTGCTTTGTCCTGCTTTAGTCCTGCTTTAGTCTGGCTTTAATCACATACCTCTCTAGTTTTGTCAGATTTTAAAGGTTCAATTTTTTTAATCAAATTCTTTTCCATGGAGACTTCTATTCATAACTTTATTTATCATTCATGACAAGAACAAAACGAACAAATGAACAAACGCCTCGAGAAGAAACGGATGAGAGCGAGTTACATCAGCTACTATTCATGAGACCAGAGACCAGGTCTGAGTAAGGTCTGGACCAGGTCTGAACCAGGTCCGGACTGGACTAAAGCAGGCCTAAAGCAGGACTAAAGAAGGTCTAAAGCAAGACTAAAGCAGGTCTAAAGCAGGATCAGGTCTCTCCTGTTTTCACCTGGAGGAACAGTCTGTTGTTTCTTTCGTCAGAACAAAGTGTTTCAAATATTCTCTTTTTTCACATTAAAAATATGGAGCAGAAAATCAAATATTTATATCCAACAATCGGCCCTGCATCAGACCTGGTTCGACCTGCTTTCGTCCTACTTTAGACCTCCCTTAGATCTGCTTTAGACCCGCCTTAGTCTTGCTTTAGACCTGCCTTAGTCCTGCTTTAGACCTGCCTTAGTCTGGCTTTTGACCTCCCTTTAGTCTTGCTTTAGACCTGCCTTAGTCCTGCTTTAGACACGCCTTAGTCCTACTTTTGACCTGCCTTAGTCCTACTTTTGACCTGCCTTTGTACGGCTTTAGACCTCCCTTTAGTCCTGCTTTAGACCTGCCTTAGTCCGGCTTTAGACCTCCCTTAGTCCTGCTTTAGACCCTCCTTAGTCCTGCTTTTGACCGGCCTTAGTCTGGCTTTAGACCTCCCTTAGTCCTGCTTTAGACCCTCCTTAGTCCTGCTTTAGACCTGCCTTAGTCCAGCTTTAGACCTCCCTTAGACCTGCCTTAGACCTGCTTTAGTCCAGCTTTAGACCATCGAACACAAACATAGTTGTCCTTCTGGGTGTTTAGTCCACTTTAGATCCATTACAGTCCAGTTATGATCCCGTTCTGGGACTTGGATCAGGTCCGGAGGTTGAGCTCTCGTCATAAATCATCAGAAAATTATAATGTGGAGCAGATGGAGAGCAGACCCCAGGGACCGGACTAAAGCAGGGACAGGACCTGGACTGAAGCAGGACTTAAACAGGACTAAAGCAGGTCTAACGCAGGACTGAGTTTAACCAGCTGTAAGTGTTGGCTGAAGCTTCATCTGCCCTGGGGCAGACTGACAGGAGAAAGTCTGTGGACACTGACCTCTGACCCTGGTCTGGAGGCGCCCCTGGTGGACACCGATGACAAAGTTGTTGATGATTCTGATTTTTTATTCTGCATCAAAAATAATAGAAACAAGTTTAAAAAACTCTTGAACTGAACAAATGAAAGAGAGGATTTAATTCAAACATGAAAATAAATAACATTTAAACAAATGTAAAGTTTTCAGTTTTTGATACATGTTATTACATCATTGTCTATTGTAAAAAAATTAAAAAAATTGAGAAATAAAAGAAAATAATAAAAAACAAACTTCAGTTTTGACAGGTTTAAAATCACACATGAAGCGTTTTACAATCTCACTTTAAACACATTATTACTGTTCCTATATATTTATGACAAATATGTATTTACAGAATACAGGCCCCTCCCCCTCTGCTCGCACCTTCCCCTCCCCTTAAGTCTTCCACTTCTGCTCTCACCTTCCTCCTGTCCTCCTCCTATGCTCTCACCTCCCCCGTCCTCCTCCTCCTCTGCTCTCACCTCCACCTCTGTCCTCCTCCTCCTCTGCTCTCACCTCCTCCTCTGCTCTCATCTCCCCCGTCCTCCTCCTCCTCTGCTCTTATCTCCCCCATCCTCCTCCTCCTCTGCTCTTATCTCCCCTGTCCTCCTCCTCTGCCCTCACCTCCACCTCTGTCCTCCTCCTCCTCTGCTCTTATCTCCCCTGTCCTCCTCCTCTGCTCTCACCTCCCCCGTCCTCCTCCTCCTCTGCTCTCACCTCCACCTCTGTCCTCCTCCTCCTCTGCTCTCACCTCCTCCTCTGCTCTCATCTCCCCCGTCCTCCTCCTCCTCTGCTCTTATCTCCCCCCCTCCTCCTCCTCCTCTGCTCTTATCTCCCCTGTCCTCCTCCTCTGCCCTCACCTCCACCTCTGTCCTCCTCCTCCTCTGCTCTTATCTCCCCTGTCCTCCTCCTCTGCTCTCACCTCCCCCCTGTCCTCCTCCTCCTCCTCTGCTCTTATCTCCCCTGTCCTCCTCCTCTGCTCTCACCTCCCCCCTGTCCTCCTCCTCCTCCTCTGCTCTTATCTCCCCTGTCCTCCTCCTCTGTCCCCCCTGTCCTCCTCCTCTGCTCTCACCTCCTCCTCTGCTCTCCCCTACCCTTTCTTCCTCTCCCTCTGCTCTCACCTTCCCCTCCCCTTCTCTCCTCCCTCTCCAGACGTAGCTTCTCTCTTCTTCCACTGGGGTAGTGTGGCTCATCCTGATCATCTCTTATTCCAATAACAAACATTATTTAGTCTCGTTCAAGCCCCGGAGATCCAAGATGGCGTCCTTTTCAAATGAATGGCTTGTGCTCAGTAGAGCATGGGACATACTAGAGGACCTAAAGATTAAGGGAACTCGCCCATATTTGGGCATGGTCTGGTCCTCCCGGTTCTGCGCACTGGACGAGCTCCCATGATGTGTTGCGCCAAATACGTGTGTGTTTCTCTCATGCACGTGCACAGAGGGGCTCGGCCGCACTTTGACCAATCAGAGCTGATGATCAGAGCGGAGCTATGGAGCGGAGTCAGAGCGGGAAGGAAAACAGCAGAGTTTGTGGCAGTAAATTGTGGATATAATGAAAACCTATAATGAAAAAAGTTCAGGATGACAAGGGACACTAAAATCCCCACAAAATCCGACCTTTATGAAAGCTGTAGGTTCTCTGTCAGGTTCTCTGTCAGCTGAGGCCGAGGTGGTTTAGTTTACACTGAGTTCTATGAGACTTTTTTCCGGGTAGCCCACGTGAATTTAGTCTGCAGTACAGCGCCCCCTGTGCCCATTGGTGGGACAGCTATAAGCTAGTAATAACCTACCCAGTTATTAACATAGATCCATGGTCTCGTTACATTCGTTTCACATTTCACAGATTCAACTCAAACTGAAAAAGGCACAATTTAAACTGAAACAGGAAGTGGTTCTAAGTTTGGCACAAACCATTATTGCTTTATTTACACATTTACTTTTACTTTTCAGCAGCCCCTTACTGAGTCTGCGTCACGCTTGGTTTCCCCTTCAAAATACAAAGAATAAATACATTTTAAAAAAACAATAAATAACATTGAAAATAAAACATCCCAAAAAGAAGAGTCTTGTTTTACTGAATCTCATGCCTAGGACCAGAGAGACTCAGACAGGTCTCACTTTCACAGCTGTGTTCTTCAGATTCATGGGTTTCAGACAGTGACAAGACTCACAACCATCAGAACAGCAATTATAATTATAATAATAACCATGATGATAATATTAATAAGATTATTTTGATACATGATAAACAAGTGTGAATAAATAAGCCCCAGTACAGCGCCCAGTTTTAAATGCACTAGTTTTTAACTAATTACACTGAGCACCGTGTGTGTGTGTGAATGTGAGTGTGTGTCTGTGTGTATGCTAACTTGTGTGTGTTTGTGAGCAGGACGCACATGTAACATCATAAAGAGCAAAACCTCAGTGATCTGTAGCAACATTGGTACTTGTACTTCAGTAGGAGATGTAGCAGTGGTACTTGTACTTCGGTCGGAGTAGCAGTTGCAGTAGTAGTACTTGTAGATCAGTAGCAGTTCTTGTATTTGTAGCTCAGCAGTAGCAGTAGTCGCACATGTACTTGTAGCTCAGTAGGAGGAGACGTCGGAGGAGGAGCTGCTGTTGCTCTGAGTCTGAGCTCGTTTTATGTACAAGTTCAACAACTTCATCTGAAACAACAGAACACACTTCCTCAGGACCACCACACGGGGGAAGGGTTGTGAAGGGAGTGTTTGAGCCTGTAACGTTAGCATGTGCGGTTAGCCTGTGTGGTTAGCCTGTGTGGCTAGCCTGTGCGGTTAGGCTGTGCGGTTAGCCTGTGTGGTTAGCCTGTGTGGTTAGCCTGTGTGGTTAGCCTGTGTGGTTAGCCTGTGTGGCTAGCCTGTGCGGTTAGGCTGTGCGGTTAGCCTGTTACCTTTCTCCTGGTGAGCTGGCTCAGAATTGGTTTCAGGTCCTCTTTGTTAAACTGAGGTCTTTGCATGTGTTAGCTTGTTAGCATGTGTTAGAATGTGTTAGCCTTAGTGGGGGCGGGTCCAAAATGGCCAAAATGACGTGCGCTGACAAGCTTGCAATACCACCCCGGGCCGATGGGGGTGGACCCGGAATAAGAATTAGCCAATGCTAACGTATAGCATCTTCTTACCTCTTGAAAACGTCTTTACAGGATGGTCCAAAAGTTGGCTCTTGGTCCAAAGCTCCGTTCCACATGTGTGTCAATGCTGAGGGGGGTGAATTTTTTTGGACCACTCTAGTTTAGTCGCTGTGAATTTTTGAAGTCTCTCGTTCAAATGAATGGAGCTCTCGCCGGCTGACGCATGCGCAGATGCGTTTTTTCACAAGTTTCTTGTGGGCGGGACCACTCGCGGCCATTTTGGATAGCTCCAGTAGAGCACTATTTTGGCCCATCAGTTAGAACGGCGGAGATAGGCGTGACTCTGTCCGTTAATATTTACAGTCTATGGTTAGCCTGTTAGCATGTTTTACCTTGCTCCCGGTGAGCTGGCTCAGATGTGGTTTCAGGTCCTCTCCGATCACAGAGTAGATAGACACCAGACAGAACACACTGGCCTTCCTCACACTGCTCTCTGTGTTATCATAGCCCTGACACACAACACACACACATTGTAGTAGCATTAGTACCTGTAGTAGCAATAATAGTATTTGTAATAGTAGCAATAGCACCTGCTATTGCTAATAATAATAGCTAAAAGCTAATAATAGTATTATTATTATGTCCGGGAGGAGTGGATCCCTTTCTCAAACCATGGGTCTCCCAGAGGTTTCTCACTTTTTCCCACTGGGTTTTCTACTGAGTTGTTCCTTGCCGATGTAGGAGGGTCCGTTGGGCAGTTAGTGTCCAACTAGAAGGACTGTGGTGATGATCCAGGACACTTTAACATTCTACAACATGTATGGACATTTATCAACATGTCTTCTACAGTATATTCTTTTTGTGTTTTAACTGTTAATTCTCTGATCTGTGTTGGTGATTTCAATGGTCTTGTTAAGTACTCTGAGATGACCTCTGTTGTGATTTAGGGCTATACAAGAATAAATTGTATTGTATTGTCTTACTATTGTTAGCTTTTTATAATGATACATTTATTTGTTTTGTTTGTGTGTATGGATGTATTTTTGCTGCTTCTGGAATGTTTCCTATTGGTATCAATAAAGTATCTAACTCTCTGTAGTAGCAGTATAAGTACTTGTAGTAGGAGTAGTACCTGTAGTAGCAGTAGTAGTAGTACCTGTAGTAGCAGTAGTACCTGTAGTAGCAGTAATACTTGTGGTAGCAGTAGTACCTGTAGTAACCCTGGTACCAGCTCGGGCAGCACCTGTAGCAGTTCTTCTGGGCTGACTCTCTCCACAGCTCTCGTCTGCATCTTGATGGCGGCCATGTTGACAGGGAAGTCTGCGGTCTGGACGATAGGACAGAGGACCTTCAGGCACTGCTCCGGTACCAGAGCTGAGGCCAGGGCACCAGAGGTGTCCTCTGCTGCCCGGACCACCTGCAGAGAGAGAGACCAAGCTGAGGACAGGTACCTCTGTCTGTGTGTGTGTGTTTGTGCCTGACCCTGGTTGTGTGTCTGTGTGTGTGTCTTTATGTATGTGTGTGTGTCAACTCTGGTTGTGTGTCTGTATGTGCGTGTTTCACCTCTGGTTGTATGTCTGTATGTATGTATGTGTGTGTCTCACTTCTGGTTGTGTGTCTCTGTGCGCCTCCAGGATCCTGATGATGGTGAGCTCTGTGTAGTTGTTGAAGCGCGGAGACTGTTTCCTCAGGATCTCCTTCAGAACACGCAGAGACAGAGCACGTAGCGCCGCCTGGAGGAGAGAGCAGGTACTACAATTGAGTTCTACAATTGAGACGCAGCAGTAGTAGCAGTATCATCAGTAGCAGCTGTAGCAGCAGCAGCAGAATCAGAATCATCAGTAGCAGCTGTAACAGCAGCAGCAGAATCAGAATCATCAGTAGCAGCTGTAGCAGCAGCAGCAGAATCAGAATCATCAGTAGCAGCTGTAGCAGCAGTAGCAGAATCAGAATCAGCAGTAGCAGCAGTAGCAGCAGCAGCAGCAGCGGCAGCAGCGGCGGCAGTATTATCAGTAGTAGTATCAGACCTCAGAGTGGGTGAGAGTGTCCAGCAGCAGCAGCAGTGTGGTCTTGAAGTGCTGTTCCCACCAGGAGGCGCTGTCCTCAGTCTCTCTACAAAACTGTAGCAGCTGCACTAGACAGCTGCGTCTCTCTGCACCGTCCGACTGAGAGAAGGTCTTCAGGAGGAGGGACATCTGTGAGCCTGAAGGGAGAGAGGTGAGAGGGTGAGCAGAGAGTTGAGAGGGTGAGCAGAGAGGGTGAGAAGAGAGGTGTGAGGGTGAGGAGAGATGGCAAGGAGAGAGACCTGTGAAGGCTTTAGACATGTGCTTGTTTCCTCCATCTTCTGTCAGATCTGCAAACAAACAAAGTCTGAAACAGGTCTACAGCAGGACTCAAGCCGGTCTAAAGCAGGACAAAAACAGGACTGAAGCAGGACTAAAGCAAGACTAAAGCAGGTCTAAATCAGGTCTAAAGCAGGTCTAAATCAGGTCTAAAGCAGGTCTAAATCAGGTCTAAAGCAGGTCTAAAGAAGGACTAAAGCAGGACTAAAGCCTAGTGTATAGTTGCGCAGCGCAGAGCTTAAGGTGGTGACGTGACATCACTTGCGCAACGCAAGGATAACCACAAGACCTTTACTGTTTGTACTGAATACAATTTAATAATAACTATGTTTCCAATCAAGAACTGTGTCTTTATTCACAACATAACAGTTAAATGAGTTGAAACGATGAGTGCATAAAACTGTCACATAAACCTACAGTAGAAACACATGTAATGATCTCAAACAGCTTGTTTCGCTATTGTTTTTGTTCTGAAGAGGATAAAGTAGCAGCGTAAATGGGAACGCTTTGGTTTCCCAGGTCACTCCTGTGAGTTCGCCATCATGTGGTTGGGTGTGGGACTACAACATTCTCTTCAAAACTCCGCAGGGGGAACGCGCGAGTGTACCACCAACTGTGGCTGCGTAGGTCTAGCGCAACCGCAACCGTAACCAGCGCCGCACGAGTATACACTAGGCTTAACACAGGTCTGGACCAGGCCTCACTCACCTCCCTCCTCCCCCGCCTGTGTGGAAGGGTCAGTGTAGTTGTGGGGGTTGTAGTCCTTAAACCGTGGATCAATCAGAGCCTGGACAGGGAGTTGGTTTTCAGACAAGTTAAAGGACTGAAAACAGACATTTTGGCTCAGATGAACAGACATTTTGGCTCAGATGAACAAACCTTTGATCGGAGATATAGCTTACCTGTCTATTCTCGTCTGCACTTTTGGAGCTGTCTGGATCAACCTCAAACGTCGCACTGAAAAAGACAAATTTTTCTTACGCTGTTATACGTGACAATAAAGCTATGCAGAGTAGCGCGTTCCAAAAGTAATGTAATAAATGTGATGAAACGACTGTAATATATTTCTTTCTCATGTATTGAACTAAATGTCAGTGTAAGGGTTCTTTTCACAATACAGATAATAGTACATTTTACAGACAGACTCCCATTATTAGAGTTTGTTGGAGACAAAGATTGAACCTGTACCTGTGAGCCTGACTGGTTTTAGACTCAGCCTTGGATTCAGCCCCTGCAGGCTGCAGTAGCAGGCAGGTGTCCTTGGGGGCGCTCTGCAGGTGGTGGTGCAGCAGTTTGGTGGTACCGTCCTGGAAGGTTTTGGGCAGAGCTCCGAGCAGCATGGAGAACTCTGGAGGGTTGAGCTCGAACAGAGAGATGAGAACACCCTGAGCAGCCTGCACAGACCGCATTAGAGCAGTGTAGTCAGTAACATGATAAAAGTAACGCATTACTGAAATCCAATTACTTTTTAAGTAAAGAAAGGGATTAAATCTGAAAAAAGTGTTCACTTATACTAGTAAATATTTACTTTTTTCCAAGCAGCGTTCCAGAACTGGGAGTAATGCCGCGTTCAGACCGGATCATGCGTCTGCTTTCAATGCAAAGTCAATGGTGGTGACACACGTTCGAGCGTCAAAACGCACGGACTTCTCGGCACACACGCACGGACCGCTCAGTAGAGACGCACAGACTTGGCGGGAAAGTCAAAGGGGAGGAGCAGGAGCGGAAAATGGACGCCCACAGGAGATGGATTCTGCTCATCCTTTCGTTGGGACGTTCGTGCAGCGACCAATCAGAGAGCAGCAAAGTGGTCACAGGGACATTAGCGGACTGAGCAAGCAGACTGAACATACTGTAAACAGCCAAAACAGGACCCACACCAGACTTCTCCAGAACTCAAACCAGGGTTGACAATGGGGGACTGTGTGCTTGTGAAAATATGCGTTGTCATTCTCCCGTGACCTTATGCAACTGCTTCGAGTGTGTTTGCCGATGCGGAAGTACCGTTTAATAGTACAAAAAACGTATGGCGCACCTCCGTGAACACATACTATTGTTATATAAAGTCCGTGGAAGGTCTCTGAACAAAGACACGCTGCAAAGCTGCATATTGGAGAAGATCTGTACACGAGAAGCCGCTTGCTAAACTCAGCATCATAGCCTGCCAGCCGGCTACTTCCGGCCAGTGGGGGCGGGTCTCAGCTCAAAAGTGGCCAAAATGACGTGCGCTGACATGCTTGCAATACCACCCCGGGCCGATGGGGGTGGACCCAGAAGAAGAATTAGCCAATGCTAACATATAGCGTTGGCAGACCTCTCAAAAATGTCTTTACAGGATGGACCAAAAGTTGGCTCTTTGCCCAAAGCTCCGTTCCACATGTGTGTCAATGCTGAGGGGGGTGGATTTTTTTGGTCCACTCTAGTTTACTTGCTGTGAATTTTTGAAGTCTCTCGTTCAAATAAATGGAGCTGCGCCGGCGGACGCATGCGCAGATGCGTTTTTTCACAATTTTCTTGTGGGCGGGACAACTCGTGGCCATCTTGGATTGCTCCATGAAAGCACTTTTCATGGCCAACTCCTATGAACGGCGGAGATAGGCGTGACTCTGTTCGTTAATATATACAGTCTATGCTTACGGCGCAGGGCAGGACGTTCTGGTGTGAAGACCCCTGCGTCTGAAAACTAGAGAAGAGCGCGTCTGGTGAGCGGGGCTTCAGCGTTTGAGCGTTTGCGGTCTGAAAGCAGCATTAGTAGAATGAGCGACGGAGAAGTGCGACCGCTGCAGCGTGATAAACACTCATCAAACATTATGGCAACATAAGCAAGATGGACGACAAGTGTGCTACTTTTACTTTCATCTCAATGTTCTGCATTTGAAACAGTTTTGAACCTATCTGCAGTTGACCTTTATTTAAATAAATGTATTAAACGTGTAAACATGATTCTGTTCCTAGCAGGGTCGTTAGACCGGCTCCCTACCACATCCTAGCAGACCTTAGATATGATAACGAGTTAGCCTCAGGATCAGGGTGTGTCTAACCACACTCAAAGGTTAGAAACCTCCAACACGTGGCTGAGCTTTCATTCCCTTGAAATTGTTATTTGGATAAGAACAAAACGTCGAGAAAACCTGCTGAAGTACAGATGATGGGTGAGCAACTCTTTGTTTTGATTCGGTTCTTTTTATTTGTGACACAATGTAATCCCAAAGTAATGTTACTTTCTTGCAGCAGTAACAAAGTAATGTAGCTAATTACATTTTCAAAGTAACTTACCCTAGACTGATTAGAGCAAACCCTGTGAGGACTAGAGCTAACCCAGAGAGGTCTTATGAGGACTGTAGCTGACAGACAGCCTTGGTCCCTCTGGTCTCTCTGGTCTCTCAGATCCCTCTGGTACCAGTAGTCTCACCTTGCGCACCTCTGCGCTCTTGGGCTCGGTGGTCCAGGTGATGATGCGAGACACGGCTAGCCGAGTCTCGCTGCTGTTGCTAAAGTGGTTGGTCTCCATAGCGACGCTGAGCGCGCTTACATACTGCAGGATGCAGGTCTTCACTTTGAGGTTCGGAGTCTGAGTCTGATCCACAATGAACCGCATCAGGATGTTGAACTGAAGCTCACAGGGGAATGAGGCTCTGAGAAGACAGGAGTCGGGTTAGTCCTGCTTTAGACCTGCTTTAGACCCTCTTTAGACCTGCTTTAGACCCTCTTTAGTCCTGCTTTAGACTTCCTTTAGTCCTGCTTTAGACTTCCTTTAGTCCTGCTTTAGACTTCCTTTAGTCCTGCTTTAGACTTCCTTTAGTTCTGCTTTAGACTTCCTTTAGTCCTACTTTAGACTTCCTTTAGTCCTGCTTCAGACCTGCTTTAGACATGCTTTAGTCCAGGTCTAGTCCTGTTCCAGTCCTGATCTGGGTCCTGATCCAGTACTGGTCCAAGTCTAGTTCCTGGTCCTGGTCCAGTCCTGACCTGGTGACGTCCAGAGCCTTCTGGACCTTGGTCTGCACTGATCCCAGTAGATCTGCTCCCATCTTCTTCAGCAGCTGAGTGAGGAGCACGAAGAGCCAGTCCTGAAGGTCCTCCCTGTACACAGCCACGAAGTCCACCAGGGTCTCCAGGAACATGCTGAACACCTGCAGAGGACAAGCTGAAGACCTGAGGAGGACAAGCTGAAGTACGGCAAAAGAGAAATTGAAGAGAAAACACACTTACTCTCTGTGTCCAGCGCAGCCGAGAGGAGGATGAAACACAAAGAGGAGGAGTTAGAGGAGGAGTTAGAGGAGGAGTTAGAGGAGGAGTTAGAGGCTAATGTAAACTTACTTTACTGTGAGGATCCGCAAACATCCGAGTAAAGATCTCACACAACCTCTTCAGCTCCACACGACTGAAACAACAGGAGTCAGGAGGAGTCAGAATCAGGAGGAGACATCAGGAGTCAGGAGGAGTACTAGTCATATTAGAAGTAGCATCAGTGCAAGTACCTCAGTACTCTTGTACTCCGCAGCAGTACTTGTAGTCCCTGTAGTCCTTCCTTCCTCTCGGTCCAGTTGGCGCTCGCACAGCGGTTCAAGATGTCCGCCGCGTCCTCTGGCGGCCGCATGAAGTGGTCACTCCGCCGCAGGAAGTGATGCGAGCGATCAGAGCAGGAAGAGGCATCACTGTGACCCTCATCGTCCGAATGCAGAGAGGAGGGGTCAAAGCGGCGAGAGGGAGGCGGCTGGGGAGGAACAGGACCATGTGAGGACAGGACCATGTGAGGTCAGGACCAAGTGAGGTCAGGACCATGTGAGGTCAGGACCAAGTGAGGTCAGGACCATGTGAGGTCAAGACCAAGTGAGGACAGGACCATATGAGGTCAGGACCATGTGAGGTCAGGACCATGTGAGGTCAGGACCAAGTGAGGACAGGACCATATGAGGTCAGGACCATGTGAGGTCAGGACCAAGTGAGGACAGGACCATATGAGGTCAGGACCATGTGAGGTCAGGACCATGTGAGGTCAGGACCAAGTGAGGACAGGACCATATGAGGTCAGGACCATGTGAGGTCAGGACCAAGTGAGGACAGGACCATGTGAGGACATGACCTAGTGAGGATCGGACCATGTGAGGTCAGGACCAAGTGAGGTCAGGACCAAGTGAGGACAGGACCATGTGAGGACAGGACCATGTGAGGTCAGGACCAAGTGAGGACAAGACCAAGTGAGGACAAGACCAAGTGAGGACAGGACCATGTGAGGACATGACCTAGTGAGGATAGGACCAAGTGAGGTCAGGACCATGTGAGGACATGACCTAGTGAGGATAGGACCATGTGAGGTCAGGACCAAGTGAGGTCAGGACCAAGTGAGGGCAGAACAATGTAAGGACAGGACCATGTAAGAACAGGACCATGTGAGGACAGGACCATGTAAGAACAGGACCATGTAAGCAGTGATAGCAGGAGCAGTGGCCCGGCAACTACGCTGTAAATAAGACACAGACGGGTGTAAGAGAGACGTACCTTTGTCCTGGAATCTCCGAGCAGCTGCAACACAAAGCAGTTTTTATAGGTCACTGCTCACGTGGGGGTCAGGAGTCAGGAGTCAAGGACTAGAGGTCAGGGGTCAGGAGTCAGGAGTTAAGGACTAGAGGTCAGGGTCAGGAGTCAAGGACAAGAGGTCAGGGGTCAGAGTCTCTGTCTCTCACCAGAGCATCAGCCACAGCTGCCTCCACCTCTGTCCCTGTGTTCAGAACCCTCATCGCATTGACAGAAGCAGAGATTCGAGCTGGAGAAACACACACAAAGTTTGATTCTGGGGTCAAACGTCTTTACATGTGTTTTATTTATTTACCAGAGAATCCGTCGGCTGAGGTCAGAGCACTGGTGGAGCGAGACACGCGGCGAGACGCTGAGACACACAAAAAACACACTGTTCTGAAAAGGGGCTGAAGTTTCATTTCTGTATTTTTACAATCCTGACATTGGAAGTGAAGACTGAAAAGTTTGTGTCACCTCCCTACGTGAGAGGAAAAAACACAAATACCAATAAAATATACAACAAAATATACATTACATACAGAAAAACTTTACAAAAAATATATAAAAACCCCAAGAACAGAAATGATAATAATTTGAATGAAAAAGCGTATAACCTTGGAGACTTTTTATTCAATTCAGATTATTTTTGTATCTATTTCACAAAAGTAATTCTCTCAGAGGACTTTCCCAAACCAATTTTAAAACTCTTAAACATATTTTTAGTTAACTGTTTTTACAATATTTGACTGTTATGTCTAAAATGCATAATTTGGACTTTTTAAAGCTTACTGTTTCATGTGTTCACTTACTGATGTAAAAACTGTATATGAAGAATGTGAGCCCCAGTGCTGATCCCTGAGGGACCCCACAGATTACAAAGTAATGGAAGAGAAGAAAACAGAGGAAGTGTGTTAGAAGAACTTAGGCTGCAGCAGCTGGAGTTTTCTGCTGCAGGACCGTACCACTGGGACATCTTAATCAATCTAGTCTGGTCCAGACCAGTGTACCCTCTAAGCTGCGCACGTGCGCAATTGCGCAGTGATTTAGGGTCTCGGCCCACAGAAAACTCTGTCCTGCGCACACAATAAAAATCCAGCGTCCTTTGAATGACGCGGCCGCGTATTTTTACGGTGTATGGACCGCGGCGCAGGCTTCATTCTCTGCCTAGAAAAAGTCAGAGAAAGCTCTGTCTGTGACGATGAGGTACACTGTCCGCGAGTGTGGGAGAAGCACTCAACATAGAAGTCTGAAGCTGCGTTTGATCCAGAACAGGGCTAGGACCAACCTCACCCTGCACACTGTGAACCGCAAAGGTAGCCTTGCGGGTCAGTGTCTCATGAGCACTACTATGAGCTACATACACGCAAAGACACACACACACACACATGCAGGGAGATCTGAGTCCTGCTGACGTCCTTCTCTTTGCCCAAAGTGCCTCCATGACTTTGCTGTGGTTTTGTTGTTAGCACTCATCTTTCACTGATGTTTAGAAGTAACTTTGTTGGTTGAACTAGTTCCTCCTTCAGTTCAGCACATGATGCCTTTTACAGAGTAAAGTTGGTTTTGTGGCAATATGACTATAATTATCTTTAAATAGTTCTTTAGATAACTTTAGATAACTATAGGTCAGTGTGTGTTTTTTTTATAATGCCAAGTGAGAAAATAAAACAATGCATACTCTGATGAGTCTTTAACATATATATGAAAAGGCTAAATCGTCTTGATGAATTTTTTAATGCAAATATGTTCCAAAATCTACTTTATGTTGCCACCTATAAAATACTCTGCCTTTCATGATCAAGGGAATATTGAACTGAATCATCATTGTTTGAAGGAAACTTAGTAAATGAGATCGCAGCAGGTGGATCGAGAAGTGAATGGTTTTCAACAGCAATTTCTCGCTCAGAGTGCTCCACGTGCCACTCAGGGGGTTTGTGTTTTTGCTCAACTGGTTCAGTCCTGGTTCAGACCTGGTTCAGTCCTGGTTCAGACTCACTGTTTGGGGACAGGCCTGTAGTGGGACTGGTGTCTCTGCTGCTCTCTCTGCTGGTTTCTCTAGAGCAGCCCTGACTCAGACTGGGACGAGGGATCCGGCTGTGGACTGAGCAGGAGATGAGAGAAGAGAGAGGAGAGGGGACAAAAGTCAAAGAAGACAGAAGTAAGAGTAAGTGAAAACAGTTCCATAAGCAGATGTTAGTGACAGTGTTAAAGAGATCAGAGCAGTCTTTAGCAGTGTTGTGTGTGAACGAGTTCAAGAGAACGCGTTCATTGAACACGATCATTTTTTTGTGAACGTTGAACTGAACGCAACACATTTTTTAATAAAGAACTTGAACGTGAATTAGTTCACATTATGTGTCATGAAAGGCAGACATCACTGTAAATGAACATTGCAATTTGTTTTCCATTGAAAACTGAGTGACATTTGTTTTCACTTTTGAAACGCAACGAGTGAAAGTTCCTCCCTCCTTAATTCACCGCACTTTCCGCCGAAAACAACAAATTCCCACGGTTTCCACCGTCTGTGAACCCACCCCAATGCTGAGCCGGTGTGGCGCTGTATGTGAGTGCTTTTCATGGGTTGTTGGACTCACATGTAAACAAAGGGTGAGTTAGCGACACACCGTTTACATTTGACATAAAGTATAGACACACATACTGCAGCGCATTACTGTTTGTGGTACTTACAAACAGTAAGTTTGTAAGTACTACAAACTAATGTTCGTAGTACTAATGGCTCAGTTTTGTGCTATTTCTGCTCAAAACTGAGCAGAAATGGCACAACTCAGTTTTGCTCCCATTGAAAACCATGTAAATCTTGTCTGTTATGAAGTCAAAAGGCTCTCATCCTGTGCTGTGTACAGGATATACAGGTATATACATATATAAACAAACACCTTTCACCGCAGGCGGTTATCCCTCTCTCTAAGCTCGGGTCCTCTACCAGAGTGCTGTTCCTAGCACTGCACATTTCTGGACCGAGATGTCCGAGGTTGTTCCAGGGATCCGCTGCAACCACTCCTCCAGCTTCGGGGTCACTGCCCCGAGTGCACCGATCACTATGGGCACCACTACTGTCACCTTTACCCTCCAGGCCCTCTCCAGCTCCTCTCTGAGACCTTGGTATTTCTCAAGCTTTTCATGTTCTTTTTTCCTGATGTTGCCATCGCTTGGAATTGCCACGTCCACCACCACGGCTTTCTTCTTACCATTCAGTCGGTCTGTATCTGGAAGTCCCACAGGATCTTCGCACACTCATTCTCCGCCACCTTTGGAGGAGTTTTCCACTTAGACCTTGGAGTTTCCAGCCAATACTCTGCACAGATGTTTCTGTACACTATGCCAGCCACTTGGTTATGGCGTTCCATGTAGGTCTTCCCTGCCAGCATCTTGCACCCTGCAGTTATGTGTTGGATCGTCTCAGGTCCTCCTTTGCACAACCGACACCTTGGGTCTTGCCTGGTGTGGTATATCTGGGCCTCTATCGCTTTAGTGCTGAGCGCTTGCTCCTGTGCAGCCATGATGAGTGCCTCTGTGCTGTCCTGTAGGCCAGCCCTTTCTAGCCATTGGTAGGACTTCTTGAGATCAGCCACTTCTGTTATGCTCCGGTGGTACTGTACATGCCGTGTAGGGGCTCGTCCTCCCATGATGGGCTCTCCTCAAGCACCTCCTCATCTCGCCACTGCCTGAGACATTCACTGAGTACGTCATCCGTTTTGGCCTTCTCCATGATGTAGTTATGGAGTTTGGATGTTTCATCCTGGACAGTGGCTCTCACACTCACTAGTCCTCGGCCTGTATGCATGTATGAACTGAACTTGAACTAGTTCAAAAAAGCTGTGAACTGGCACAACACTGGTCTTTAGATAGATAGATACTTTATTGATCCCCGCAGGAGAAATTCAGGTGTCCAGAAGCAGCTCCAGTCTGGACCAGTGTAAAACCATGTACACGGTACTGCAGCAACATCTCAGGTAGAAAAATAAATAAATAAAACACATTGTTAAGCACAAAACAACAACTGTTTTCATTCATTCAAATGCAAACCAAGTTTGCATTGGGGGCGGTCACTGAGGACTATCCCTGCGCTCTTAGATGCCTCTGTTCTATATCTTCTAACAGGAAAGATACCAGACTGACCTCCTCGGCTCGGGCTGGTCTCCCTGCTGGTCTCCTGGCTCCTGTGGCCTCTGCTCCCAGCTCTGCTCTGAGGAGAGAAGCTGCTCCTCTGGGTCCTGCTGAAGGAGCCCAGAACCCTCCCAGGAGACCCAGACCTGGACCCAGCTGAGGACCAGAAGGAGAACACATTATCCCTGTGTCACAGACCTCATATTACACTTGTATAACAGACCTCACATTACACCTGTGTAACAGACCTCACATTACACCTGTGTCACAGACCTCACATTACACCTGTATAACAGACCTCACATTACACCTGTGTAACAGACCTCACATTACACCTGTGTCACAGACCTCACATTACACCTGTATAACAGACCTCATATTACACCTGTGTCACAGACCTCACATTACACCTGTATAACAGACCTCATATTACACCTGTGTCACAGACCTCATGTTACACCTGTGTTACAGACCTCACATTACACCTGTGTTACAGACCTCACATTACACCTGTGTCACAGACCTCACATTACACCTGTATAACAGACCTCACATTACACCTGTGTAACAGACCTCACATTACACCTGTGTCACAGACCTCACATTACACCTGCATAACAGACCTCACATTACACCTGTGTCACAGACCTCACATTACACCTGTATAACAGACCTCACATTACACCTGTATAACAGACCTCATATTACACCTGTGTCACAGACCTCATGTTACACCTGTATAACAGACCTCACATTACACCTGTATAACAGACCTCACATTACACCTGTGTCACAGACCTCACATTACACCTGTATAACAGACCTCACATTACACCTGTATAACAGACCTCACATTACACCTGTGTCACAGACCTCACATTACACCTGTATAACAGACCTCACATTACACCTGTATAACAGACAGTGTAATGTGAGGTTCTCCCATGACGCTCCTTGTAACTAGAAACCTCTGCCTTATGCTATTATGAGTACCAGCAAAAACTAAAGACCTGTCCATACCTCATGTGTTTGTAGAAATGTGATACGTAAATAAGCCTGCCTTACGCTGAGAGTGAGAGCTGGGTTTACTGCGCTCCCTGGTGTCTGTGCTCCTCATCTGCACTCGCCCTGCCAAAGAGCATAAGATTATGGAGGAGAGAGGAGAGAGGAGGATACGAGAGAGGCGGAGGGAGAACAGAGGTGGGGGAGAGAGAGTAGAAGACATCACATCATCACTTGGAAAAGGTGGTATGAGCCTGAGTGGTTACTGTGGTTACTGTTTACATGCTCTCCCTGTGTAAGTGCATGTTTCCTCCAGGTGCTGCGGTTTCTATCACTAAAACATGCGTAAAATCTCATCAATCCACATTATCCCGTCTGTACGTCTGAGTCAGGACTTACAATCATTCCAGGCATCTGACAGCGAGAGGGATGAGAGAGAGTTATTAATTTATTTTAGGTCCTGGTCTTGGCCATGGTCCAGGCCCTGGTCCTGGTCTTGTCCTCACGGGGATCTCTCTTACCCAGAGAGGCGTAGGACCCTGGGGAAAGGGTAGAGGCGGTGGCCATCTTGTTCCGGTCGACATCGCTGTGAGAGCGACTCAGCGACAGAGAGGGTTTGACTGGAACAGAGACACACAAGAGTAACACAGATGCACACAAGAGTAACACAGAGACACACAAGAGTAACACAGATGCACACAAGAGTAACACAGATGCACACAAGAGTAACACAGAGACACACAAGAGTAACACAGATGCACACAAGAGAAACACAGAGACACACAAGAGTAACACAGAGACACACAAGAGTAACACAGAGACACACAAGAGTAACACAGAGACACACAAGAGTAACACAGAGACACACAAGAGTAACACAAAGACACACAAAAGTAACACAGAGACACACAAGAGTAACACAGAGACACACAAGAGTAGCACAGAGACACACAAGAGTAGCACAGAGACACACAACAGTAAAAAAGAGACACACAAGAGTAACACAGAGACACACAAGAGTAACACAGAGACACACAAGAGTAACACAGAGACACACAAGAGTAACACAGAGACACACAAGAGTAACACAGAGACACACAAGAGTAACACAGAGACACACAAGAGTAACACAGATGCACACAAGAGTAACACAGAGACACACAAGAGTAACACAGATGCACACAAGAGAAACACAGATACACACAAGAGTAACACAGAGACACACAAGAGTAGCACAGAGACACACAACAGTAAAACAGAGACACACAAGAGTAACACAGAGACACACAAGAGTAACACAGAGACACACAAGAGTAACACAAAGACACACAAAAGTAACACAGAGACACACAAGAGTAACACAGAGACACACAAGAGTAGCACAGAGACACACAAGAGTAGCACAGAGACACACAACAGTAAAACAGAGACACACAAGAGTAACACAGAGACACACAAGAGTAACACAGAGACACACAAGAGTAACACAGAGACACACAAGAGTAACACAGAGACACACAAGAGTAACACAGAGACACACAAGAGTAACACAGAGACACACAAGAGTAACACAGAGACACACAAGAGTAACACAGAGACACACAAGAGTAACACAGAGACACACAAGAGTAACACAGAGACACACAAGAGTAACACACAGAGACACATGTGCCTCTGTTGTCCTCTGCAGATGTTACTCACCGCGTGTCTGTCTCCCAGAGCTCTGTACCGAGAACGGACGACTGCAACAGACCAGTTACATCATCAGTGACATTACCTGTGACATCACCTGTGACATCACCTGTGACATCACCAATGTGACATCATCAGTGACATCACGTACGACATCACATGTGACATCATCAGTGTGAGGTCATCAGAGAAAGGTCATCAGTGTCATTATTGGTGACCTCTGACCTCAGACTCTCCTGAGACGATGAGGAAGAGCGGTCAGAAGCAGGAAGTGAAGTTGTGGTCTCGTTCCCGCAACGATGGGCCTGCAAAGCCCTCTGATAGGCCTGTTCCAGACTGTTGTAAAGAAGCTCCGCCTCCCGAGAGAAACGAGAGCGAAACGACCAATAGCAGCTGAGGACAGAGGTCAAATAGGAGGTCAGAGAGGAGGTTGCAGGTCAAAGAGGAGGTCAGAAAGGAGAGACGCCAAACGTCAGCTTACTTCCTGGCACCGCACCGAGCCTCTGAGTCTGCATCGTGGATCCCCTTCTTTATGGAGTCACATATGACAGAGGCGTGTCTGAAAGCACCAGCAGAACATGCAAAAGAGAGAGGAGAGATGGGAGAATACACCAGTAGAACATGCAAACATACAAACATGCATAAATGATCCATTAAATATGCATTAATTATGTCTGCTTTAGACCTGCATTAGACATGCTTTCGACATGCTTTAGTCTTGCTTTTGTCCTGCTTTTGTCATTCTTTTGTCCTTCTTTTGTCCTGTTTTAGACCTGCTTTAGTCCTGCTTTAGTCCTGCTTTTGTCCTGCTTTAGACCTGCTTTGGACCTGCTCTCGACCTGCTCTAGACCTGCTCTCGACCTGCTCTAGACCTGCTCTCGACCTGCTTTAGTCCTGCTTTTGTCCTGCTTTAGACCTGCTTTCGACCTGCTCTCGACCTGCTTTAGTCCTGCCTTAGTCCTACTTTCAAGTGTCAGTGTGCACTTCCTGTTTCCTCCACCAGAGGGAGCAGGTGTGTTTTCTCACCGCTCCAGAGCAGACGTCTGCCACTGCTGTAGCTGCAGAAGCAGAAACTCAAAGCAGCGACTGTAAAAACATAGGAGTTACACACCCCATCTTTAAAGTTACACACCCCAGCTTTAACACGTGTAACATATTTAAGTCACAAACCGTCGAACCACCACCGATTTGGACGAACAGAATCCAGTGACGATCGGGACGAGACGATGGAAATGAGTGTTCTGAAAACAGAGCCGAGTCAGACCTGGTTCAGACATGCATGGTGAGTTGAGTTTTAACATCCATGGTCTGATTCTCTTCCTTTGGCCACCTGATAATTCCTGCAGGGTATCTGATCACTGATCCATTCAGACCTTACCTTCAGAATGACTCGGACAGCGGTGATTCCGCTTGAGGCCATGATCTTGGTGCTGCTGGGTATCAGTCCGATTAGAGACGGCAGCAGAGCTTCAGCCGAGCGGTCAAACCGAAGACCCAGGACTGAGGACAGGTGCCTGCAGGGGTCAGAAGGAGGAGGATATACATCGATACATTTTGTTCAATTGACAAAAAATATATTTAAAACTATTAATGAAATAATCAATTAGATCTCACCGTCCCCCTTCTCACCCCTCCCTCTCCCTGCACCTCCCTCTTCCTGCCCCTCCTCACCCCAGGGCAATGCAAGCCTCTCCCCCTCCTCACCCCAGGGTAATGCAGGCCTCCCTCACCACCTGGGACCTCAGGTCTCTCACACACAGTCTGAGGGACGTCTCCATGAGTCTGAGCTGAACCAGAAAACTATCCATCTTTGAGGCTCCAGCAACCAGCAGCACCCGGAGGAACTCCAGCTGAGGATCAAGCAGAGATGTGACTTTAGTCTTCTTAACAACAGAATAAAGCACCCCACGTACCACAGTTTTAAAGTTCTGTACCACAGCTTTGAAGTCCTGTTCCCAGTTTTAAAGAACCGTATCCAGCTTTAAAGTCCTGTATCCAGCTTTAAAGTCCTGTATCCAGCTTTAAAGTCCTGTACCCAGCTTTAAAGTCCTGTACCCAGCTTTAAAGTCCTGTACCCAGCTTTAAAGTCCTGTACCCAGCTTTAAAGTCCTGTACCCAGCTTTAAAGTCCTGTACCCAGCTTTAAAGTCCTGTACCCAGCTTTAAAGTCCTGTACCCAGCTTTAAAGACTCACCGCCGCCACACGCTGCTCCCAGTCCCGTTTTTCGTCAGACAGAACGTCCCTCACTCTGGCCACGCCCTCCTCCACCTCCCTGTGAGAGAGGAGCTAAACACAGCTGCAGGTCAGACTTTCCCCTCTTCTCTCTATCTTCTCATTTCTCTCTTCACATCTCTCTCCTCCCCTCTCTCGCCTCAGCTCTCTCCTCCTCTCTCTCGCCTCAGCTCTCTCCTCCCCTCTCTCTCTCATCTCTCTCCTCCCCTCTCTCGCCTCAGCTCTCTCCTCCCCTCTCTCGCCTCAGCTCTCTCCTCCCCTCTCTTGCCTCATCTCTCTCCTCCCCTCTCTCGCCTCATCCCTCTCCTCCCCTCTCTCTCATCTCTCTCCTCTCTCGCCTCAGCTCTCTCCTTGCCTCATCTCTCTCCTCGCCTCATCTCTCTCCTCCCCTCTCTCGCCTCAGCTCTCTCCTCCCCTCTCTCTCTCATCTCTCTCCTTCCCTCTCTTGCCTCATCTCTCTCCTCCCCTCTCTCTCTCATCTCTCTCCTTCCCTCTCTTGCCTCATCTCTCTCCTCCCCTCTCTCGCCTCAGCTCTCTCCTTCCCTCTCTCGCCTCATCCCTCTCCTCCCCTCTCTCTCATCTCTCTCCTTTCTCGCCTCATCTCTCTCCTTTCTCGCCTCATCTCTCTCCTCCCCTCTCTCGCCGCAGCTCTCTCCTCCCCTCTCTCACCTCAGCTCTCTCCTCCCCTCTCTCGCCTCAGCTCTCTCCTCCCCTCTCTCTCTCATCTCTCTCCTCCCCTCTCTCGCCTCATCTCTCTCCTCCCCTCTCTCGCCTCTCTCTCCTCCCCTCTCTCGCCTCAGCTCTCTCCTCCCCTCTCTCTCTCATCTCTCTCCTTCCCTCTCTTGCCTCATCTCTCTCCTCCCCTCTCTCGCCTCAGCTCTCTCCTTCCCTCTCTCGCCTCATCCCTCTCCTCCCCTCTCTCTCATCTCTCTCCTTTCTCGCCTCAGCTCTCTCCTCCCCTCCCTCGCCTCATCTCTCTCTCCTCCCTCTCTCGCCTCAGCTCTCTCCTCCCCTCTCTCGCCTCATCTCTCTCCTCCCCTCTCTCGCCTCAGCTCTCTCCTCCCCTCTCTCGCCTCAGCTCTCTCCTCCCCTCTCTCGCCTCAGCTCTCTCCTCGCCTCATCTCTCTCCTCGCCTCATCTCTCTCCTCCCCTCTCTCGCCTCAGCTCTCTCCTCCCCTCTCTCTCTCATCTCTCTCCTTCCCTCTCTTGCCTCATCTCTCTCCTCCCCTCTCTCGCCTCATCCCTCTCCTCCCCTCTCTCTCATCTCTCTCCCTTTCTCGCCTCATCTCTCTCCTCCCCTCTCTCGCCGCAGCTCTCTCCTCCCCTCTCTCACCTCAGCGCTCTCCTCCCCTCTCTCGCCTCAGCTCTCTCCTCCCCTCTCTCACCTCAGCTCTCTCCTCCCCTCTCTCGCCTCAGCTCTCTCCTCCTCTCTCTCCTCTCCTCTCCTCACATGAGTAGTTTATCAGTGTGTACAGTGTGTAACAGATGAGGAAGGCCTGCAATTGTCATCATAGGTAAACCTCAACTATGAGACAGAAAGAGAAAAATTATTCAGAAAATCTGATTTTTAGAAAATGTATTGGCAAATTCCACCATCATTTGCCAATACATTTTCTAAAAATCTGATTTTATGGATTATTTTTCACGAACAAACTCCTTCTTTATCACAATCAGAATCATTTTTATTGCCACGTAAGTAACAGGAAGTCACAGACTTGGAAATTATTTTGGCTCAGTGCAACAGTCAGAAAGAGAGGTAAAGAGTAGAGAAGGCATAATAAAAAATAAGATAAGAAATACAAAAATAAAACAATCAAAAATACTACTAAGGAATAAAATTTAACTGAACTGGTTATCAGTCTGAAAGACACCTGTCCTCAACTTGCACAATTACTCACTAAATACATTTTTGCCCCACTGTAATCTACGTAGAAGTTTAAACATTGAACCTGGGTGGGGACCTCCTTAAACGCCTTCATGAAGTCCTCCTCATCCAAAGCTCCAGCTGTTTCTCGTCCTGAGGATAGAGGAGAGGTGAGAGAGAGGAGAGAGATTAGAGGAAAGGATACAGGGGAGAAGATGGAGAAGAGACTGTATTTATTAACACTTATGGCCATTGGTCAACACCTCCCGATTGACCAATACCTATGTGTTTGTGTGTATTCATTGAGTTTGAACGGTTTGATTCTCTGATCTGTGTTGGCGATTTCAACGGTTTTGTCAAGTCCTCTGAGATAACTACTGTTGGGATTTTACGGCTATGCAAGAGTAAATTGAATTTAGTTGAATTTAGAGAAAGGAGAGCGGAGGGAGAAGGGAGAGAGAGGAGAGAGAGGAGAAAGGAGCGAAGAGGAGGATGAGGGTTCACCTGATTTTGTGGAGCGTCTGAAGCTCAGACTCTTCTTCATGGATGCTCTGGAGGAGTCGTCGTCTTCAATCGTCTGATCTGGATCAACAGCATTTTAATGTCAGTTGCAGCTGTGGTTGTTGCTGTGGCTGTTGCTATAATTATTGCTATGGTTACCGGACAAGGGAGACAGGACCATGTTTCCAGATCTCTGCACTTCATCGAACCGACTGAAGATCAGATTCAACCTGAAACATGAGATCCTGGTTATATTCCCACTGGGACCAGAGACTAGGCCTGTCACCTGTCATGGTGATAAATTGTCCCAGATTTGTTTGCGATGGTCCATGCTGGTCACATTATTATTAAGAAGTGATGGACCCAAAACCCAAAACAGAAAAAAGGTTTCATTCACAAAAATCCAAATCAGGAGGGGCCTGGTTTGAAGGAAAGAGGATGGGACCAGGACGGCACCAGGACGGTACTGAAGTTGATGGTGCAGGTGCAGGGGCTACATAGCTAGGTACACTTGTGTGATGGAACAATCTGGCACTGGAGACAGGGTCTGTTTGGAATGGTGGAATGGTGATCAGGTGTGGAGCTCAGCACAATTATAGCCACGTTTCGGCTGTGTACTCGCCGAGCTGTTGTCAAAGCGGCTCACAGTCGCTGATATGGGAACCACTGCCATTCATTACGAAGCGGCTGCAGTGGCTCCAGGGTCAGAACGATGTGGCAACAGGATATGGAATCCTGTTTGAGTACGGACATATATTACATCCATGCTTGTTCCTCGCGGTGTGCGCACACATTACATGCCTCTGATTGGCTCGTGCACAACACACATGAGACCATGCGTTGTAGGTAGGCTAATGACAAAGTGCGAACTTGTGTTCGCACAAATGGAACTTATCAAGGAGGTCAGATTTACAAACCTCACTTTTATTGACTTTATTGAGGAGAGACCAGTTATAATCCCACTGAGACCAGGAGAGACCGGTTATGATTCTACTGGAACCAGGATAGACCCACCTGGACTGAGGAAGACCCTTTTTACCAAGGTCAATCCGCACTTTCTCTCCCACGTGACGATAGATCTCCACCAGAGAGTTCAGTGCCACGCCTCTCACCTGAAACACAGGATTACAGAGGATTACCCAGCAGCCACCACACCTCTGCTGCTGTGATTTAAAGTGAGGTTGCTTTTCTGCTGCTACTGAACACCTACATTTATCCTGCAGGGAATCAATAAAGTATCTATCTCTCTGTCTACACACGATTCTACAGGATTCCACAGGATTCCAATGGATTCCAAAAGATTCCAAAGAATTACACAGGATTACAGTGGATTACACGAGATTATACCGGATTATAGAGATTTCATGTGTTTATAACCTGTAATAATTTCTCACCGCGCTACTCGGATCCTCCAACAAACTGCAGATGTGAGGCACGATTTTACTCAACGTCAAACTCTGCGACCCGAATCTACAAACAAGAAACAGATTTTACCGAAGAATCGAGTGGATCCCAAGACTGAAGACAAACTGAGGAGGAGGAGGGGTGCGGAGGAGGGAGTGGGTGGGGTGGGGAAGGGATGGGAGGGGAGGAGGTCACTCACACGTTCAGAGTGGACATCAAGCACAGACACAGTCCTTCTCTTGTTCTGCTGTTCTTGTGTTTGAAGCCTCCCATCATCCGCTCCCACACGAACTATAAAAACAGAAGAGGAAGAGACAGAAGAAGAAAAAACAGAGACATCAGTATTTGTTAGAAAAAAATCTGTAAACACGCCTCTCGTTCTGTCACATGATGTTTTATCACATCATGTGTGTGGCCACAGCTGCCCTGGGACAGTTACCTGGGGGTTGGCTGCCACAGCCGCCCTCGGACAGTTACCTGGGGGTTGGCTGCCAAAGCCGCCCTGGAACAGTTACCTGGGGATTGGCTGCCACAGCCGCCCTGGGACAATTACCTGGGGATTGGCTGCCTGGTCCATGATCTTTAGCAGCAAAGCCTGGTCCTGCTCTCGCACTCTCTCTGTGACGTCTCCCAAACGATCCATGAGGCTCGGCAGAACTGCAACAAGCACGAATGGAGTTAGGGAGAGAGCAGCACGAGCCCAGAGTGGAGTGAGGGAGAGAGCAGCACGAGCCCAGAGTGGAGTTAGGGAGAGAGCAGCACGAGCCCAGAGTGGAGTGAGGGAGAGAGCAGCACGAGCCCAGAGTGGAGTTAGGGAGAGAGCAGCACGAGCCCAGAGTGGAGTGAGGGAGAGAGCAGCACGAGCCCAGAGTGGAGTGAGGGAGAGAGCAGCACGAGCCCAGAGTGGAGTTAGGGAGAGAGCAGCACGAGCCCAGAGTGGAGTTAGGGAGAGAGCAGCACGAGCCCAGAGTGGAGTTAGGGAGAGAGCAGCACGAGCCCAGAGTGGAGTTAGGGAGAGAGCAGCACGAGCCCAGAGTGGAGTTAGGGAGAGAGCAGCACGAGCCCAGAGTGGAGTTAGGGAGAGAGCAGCACGAGCCCAGAGTGGAGTTAGGGAGAGAGCAGCACGAGCCCAGAGTGGATTGAGGGTGTTACCTGTGGCCACCTGAGTCCTGAAAGCCTCCTGCAGAAGAGAGACCAGAGCCGAGAGGAGCTCCATCCCCAACAGGACCACCTGCAGAGAGAGACCACAGGGACCGAGGCTGAGGACAGAGGACAGACGACAGAGGACAGAGGACAGAGGACAGAGGACAGAGGACAGAGGAGAGAGGACAGAGGAGAGAGGAGAGAGGACAGAGGAGAGAGGACAGAGGACAGAGGACAGAGTACAGAGGACAGAGGAGAGAGGACAGAGGAGAGAGGACAGAGGACAGAGGACAGAGGACAGAGGACAGAGTACAGAGGACAGAGGAGAGAGGACAGAGGAGAGAGGACAGAGGACAGAGGACAGAGTACAGAGGACAGAGGAGAGAGGAGAGAGGACAGAGGAGAGAGGAGAGAGGAGAGAGGACAGAGGACAAAGGAGAGAGGACAGAGGACAGAGGACAGAGCCTAAACAAACAAGACAACCAATACCATAGTTGGAAAAGGGACACACACACACAGTCTCACCTCACAGTCGCCGTGGTTCACCCAGACACACACCACAGTGTCCACTGCTCGATCCACAGCGCTCTGGTCCTGAACCAGAGCGGGACAGTCCTGAACCATCTGCAGGACATGTCCCAGAGTCCTGGTCTCTGCGTGAGAGAGGAGCTGGAGGAGGACCTCTGGGGAAACATCAGGAGGAACATCGGGACCAGGACTCTGTGGACACAGCCCCTCCTCTGGATCCATCTGCAGAGATAAAGACAAGCTAAAGCAGGTCTAAAACAGGACTAAAGCAGGTCTAAAACAGGACTAAAGCAGGTCTAAAACAGGACTAAAGCAGGACCAAAACAGGACTAAAGCAAGACTAAAGCAGGACCAAAACAGGACTAAAGCAGGACTAAAGCAGGTCTAAAGGCTGGACTCACCTCTGCTTCAGATTGGTGGGTCAGATTCATGTGAGGTCAGAGGTCAGAGTCCTCAGCGCTGGAGCGAGGTGCAGTGACATGATCCTGATCAAACACACTGATCACGTTACTGAAGTGAGAAAGTTTTAAGGTCAAAGAAACAATGAAATGTATTTATGTCACTATCAAAAGGTACAGTATATAATAATAATAATAATGTATCGGTTTTATATAGCGCTTTTTTGGACACTCAAAGACGCTTCACATGTGTCATTATTCATTCACTCCATACACAGTGGAGATAAACTATTACTGTAGCCACAGCTGCCCTGGGGCACACTGACACAAACGAGGCAACCAGTATGCGCCATCGACCCCTCTGACCATCACCAACCATTCACACACACATCAGACTCATTCTAGGCAATGGGGGTGAAGGGTCTTGCCTAAGGACACAACGGCAGTTTGCCACTTTACAGCCACAGCCGCCCCGCTGTGGCACCTGGTGTTCCCATATATAAGAGGGTTTTCTTCTTCCGGGTGGATCATCAATACCATTGGTCCTCCTAATTGTCAATC